AGCAGTTACAGTAGAAAGAAGAAAAGTGAAACACGTAGGAAAAACGAGATATACAAAAATGATCACCGTAGAAAAAACGAGATATACAATGACCACGGAGACGTCTTCGGACAGCACTGGCTCTTCGGCTTTGAAACGGAGATGAGCACCGCCCCCTAGAGTCAGGAACGACTAGCACATATGTGCAAGGGGAACCTTTAGTTCCATTCAGTTGCCCAGACTCTACCCCCGCAAGGGATTATGGGGTCGTTAAATGAAAATGATGATGATAGCATGTGTATATGTGTGTTATGTATGGATTTGGGTAGTTACATGCTTTCTCTTGAGAGCAGGCAACAGAATTTCATTTTTAATGTGGGCCAGTGTGCTCACACACAAAAACGTCAATAAAAGTTACCTATCTTTATCTATAATAATACTGATTTAATATATGCAAACATACACAAAGACTCGTTCACTGTTTCAATGGTTTGCTGTTTTTTTCCTCGACAGTGCGGGATATGATCCGTATCCGAGGCCATAATGAAAACCTCCTGAATTGCTACTCTTGTACAGCTGCTGATAACACTTGTAACAACCCCAGTTTCACACAGATGCGTTGTTTCTGGCCCCAGGACAGGTGCATAGATATCGCCTCCTTGACGGATACAGGAGGTGAGTCATTGCCTTCTTCTGATGTACAATTTTTTGGTCGCTTCTTCCCTCCGATGTCTTCGTTTCAGACAGGAAATCATGCATTTAACCTTCATTTCAGATCTTAGCCCTCAGAGCTCGCCGGGATTAATTCAAGCATCGCGTGTTTGCCTATTAAACGTGTCTACAGATTTAACGAAATCTCTCGGTTGAAAAGAGGGATCAGAGGGGAGCCATTTTAAACCAATCCAATCCGTGTAGATTTAATACATAAATAAAATACACAGGGAGCCCTCGGGTTATAACCACAACAAAGCCCAATTTTTTTGTTGCTAAGCAAAATGGTTGTTAAGTGGATTTTACCCCATTTTACAACCTTTCTTCAGGGGTGGGCTTCAAAAATTTTAGCAAGGGGTTCTCTGCTTGGTTGCTGGGTGGGCGTGGCCATGGTGGGCGTGGCCTGGTCGGCCTCCTGCAACATGGTGGGAGGGGCATTTTTGCCCTCCCCGGGCTCCGGAGACTTTCCTTGAGTCTCCGGGAGGGCAAAAACGGCCTACTCAGGCTCCGGAGGCCCTCTGGAGGCCGGAAACTGGCCCTTTTCTGGCCTTCCCAAACTTTTGGTAATTTTTTGCCCTCCCTGAGCCTCCACGCACACCCTGCAATTATCTGCATCCAAAACAGTCTGCGTGGGGACTTCTGGGAGGGGAGGGGGTGTTGAAGTCCACAAGTCTTAAAGTTGCCAAGGTTGGAGACCCCTGGTCTAAATCAATGTTTCTCAACCTCGGGCTCTTGACTGGGGAATTCTGGGAATTGAAGTCCACGCATCTTCAAGGGGCCAATGTGGAGAAATGCTGGTTCAAACACAGACGATACAAAATATATTTAAGCAGGATTCACCTTACCCAGAAAGCTACAAAGCTGACCAAAATTAAAACTAACCAAGCCTTTGCATGTTTGTAAGTGGAGTTGTTGTAATTAGCCAAATTAAAGGAATGGGCAAATATAGCTCAGGCAAAAATGTATTTAGAGATTTTATGTGATGCTCCAATTTGTAGTAACTTTTAGAAAATTTCAATTTTCCAGTAGTTTAAAAGATGGCAAATGGTGCAGCATTCACCCCCCACCCACCCACTCACCCCACCAAATAAATACACTGTATATAATTAGCATTTAACTCCCCCATTCTCAGAATTGTGTGATGTCTACTAAGACGATGAAAAAACTCACAGCCAGCACTATTGTGCCGAATAATAAAGTCATTTTTTTGCCCTCTGTATGTGGGGATTAAAAATTAGCATTTTTCACTCCTCCGTTCTCAAAACTGTGGCGTTTTGTTTGGGCTGGATGGGTTCTAGTAAGAAGGTAAACCAACTCTCCCAGCTTTACTATGCAAAATAATACAGTCGCTATTATTATTTTTGCCATAAAAGGCGTGACAATTTTACATTTCAAATGTGATGGTTTACAGCAGTGGTTCTCAATTCACTATTCACTATTTTAAATTGCATGGGTTTCAATTCCCAGAATTTCCCAGGCAGCATGTGGATTCTTTAGAAGATTCCCTTTGAATTCGAATAAATGATTAAGGATCCCAAAGAGCTTTGATTTATGTGGGTTATATAGATTAATATCAGGGGTTACCCTTATTATTATTATTATTATTATTATTATTATTATTATTATTATTATTTTATTATTATTATTATTATTATTATTATTATTATTCCAAACCAGTAGTAAAAAAAATGCTTAAAAAAATAAAAAAAAGGTTCCCACGATCACGGGCACAGCTGATTGTCACAGCTGATTATCGGAATCTTTTTTTAACTTCTTTTAGTTAAAAAATGCTTTAAAAAGTAAAAAAAAAGCTGGCCACGCTCACCCAGTCACATGACACCCCCCCACCCTCCAAGCCATGCCCACCAAGCTATGCCCACAGAACCGGTAGGGGATTTTTTTTAATTTCACCACTGATTAATATGTACTACATTAAGAATTAAACCTGAGAATGGTTATAATAATTATTTATTTGACTCTGGGATTCCCCTGAACAGATCTTGGGGATCTCTAGAGTACACTTTGAGAAACCCTTGTCTAGAGGTCTATGGTACAAGTCATGGTTGTCCCAAAAGTACTTTTCAAAGAAAAAAGGAAGCATTTTTGGGTCAGCAACCTAGAACTAAGGAGAAATTTCCTGACAGTGAGAACAATTAACCAACTGGTGGGACAGCTTGCCTTTAGAAGTTGTGGCTGCTCTGTCACTGGAGGTTTTTAAGAAGAGATTAGACAACTATTTGTCTAATCTGAAATTAGACAGCTATGAGCTTGAGCAGAGCTTGTCTGCTTGAGCCAGGGGTTGGACTAGAACAGGGGTCTCCAACCTTGGCAATTTTAAGACTTATGGATTTCAACTCCAACCTTGGCAACTTTAAGACTTATGGATTTCAACTCCAACTTTGGCAACTTTAAGACTGGTGGACTTCAACTCCCAGAATTCCTCAGCCAGCAGCTGGCTGAGGAACTCTGGGAGTTGAAGTCCACCAGTCTTAAAGTTGCCAAGGTTGGGGACCCTTGGACTAGAAGATCTCCAAGGTCCATCCCAGCTCTGTTATTCTGTTAGGGAATCTCAACTCATGGAACAGTGTGCCCCCTGGAGGCCAAAAACACATTTACACCATTGTTTTTCCATCCCATTGGTAGAATTACCCAAGGATCAAGAACGTATCAAAGGCTGCGGCCAGCTTTCCCACTGCCAGGATGCTCTGGGCTTCCAAAACCACAAGAGTTTCCACATGGTCAAGTGTTGTAACTCCAGCTTGTGTAACAATGATGTGCAAGGTAGGTCAACCACAACGTTGTTTTAGAGCGGTAAAAAGAGGCCTGCAGAAAAAGAAAGAGTAGCACGTATAATAGGGCTCCCCAGATGTTAGTTTGAGGACCTTCGATCATGCTCAATTCTCATTCATCTCCTGTGGGCTGGGCTTAGCCCCCTCTTGGCGTGAAAGCCATGGTGAAATCACCCATCATAGCATCCTTTGCAGGGTGACCTAATGATACATCTGAAGTCAAAGACATACAGACAAATATTTATTTTATTTTATTTTATTTTATTTTATTTTATTTTATTTTATTTTATTTTATTTTATTTTATTTTATTTTATTTTATTTTATTTTATTTTATTTTATCAAGGGCTCGCGCTTGCTTCGCTCGTGTGCACGCTTTGCTTCTGCGCATACGCAAATTGCCGATGATGACATCCGGGGTGGTGGGCGGAGTCTCCCGCCGGTTTTACTACCGGTTCTTGCGAACCGGTCCGAACCGGGGGCAACCCACCACTGCAGCAACCCTTTGCTTAATGCAGTAAGGAAACCAATTCACAGAGGTTGCTTCTCTTTGCAGATTACAAGCGGGCTCCCTTGCCCTTGAACGGGGTTACATGCCACAGCTGCGAAGGAAACGCCACTCACGGTTGTGCCCCGGATAACATCACAACGGTGCAATGCCGAGGCCCCATGGCTAAGTGCCTAGAAGCCTCAGGAATCCACGGTGAGTCACTTGTGAGAAATTCCTCTTGCACTCTCTCTCTCGCTCTCTCTCTCTCTCTCGCTCTCTCTCTCTCTCCCTCCCTCCCTCCCTCTCTCTCTCTCTCTCTCTCTAACGTGCCTGAGGTGTTCTGAACTAGGCCTCCCAAGATCACGAAGCAGACTCCTCGTCCCGATAAAACCTCTTTTATTTAGGTTAAAGGGAAATTCCTCTCTAGCAAAGTCCCGGCAAACAGTCTTTTGTGAGATTTCACAACTACAGACCCTTTATCAGGCTTGGAGAGTTGCCAGGCCGATATCTTCCAAACGCCATTCTGTAGCAGCTGCAATTACTTGGCAAGAACTGAGGAACAGATCTTCACCCTCGTGAATTGAACTGTCTCCTGCAAACTCCCCTCCCCTTCGCTCCTCTTTAGTCCCCATGGGAGGGGCCATTCACCATTCACCTGGGCCTTTACTCCTGAGTCGGCCCTTGTTCCTTAGCTGTTCCCTTCTCCTGGCAGCTCTGCGCATGCGCACATCGGGAACAGGCTCCAGCTATTCTTCTGCCCCACTGATATCCGACTCCGAAGGCAGCTGATAACTGTCGGACGGCCCTGGCCCCCTCTCTGCCTCAGACGCAGAGCCCACATTAGACCCTTCCCCAGACTCCAGGACTGGCCCATGTTCCTCCCCAACCTCCACACTCTCTGAGTCTGCCACCAGCTCCGCTGGCGGGCCACAACACAAGGAGAAAGATATGGAAATAAATCTACAGAAATTGTGAGCCCGCTTCAAATGGACTAAGAGTTTCAAGCTGGCTTCAGAGTTGGGTGGAAACTCTTGTCTTTCTCAATGATCCAGACCATCTCTTGGTAGATGAAGAGAATTTTCTCAATCTGCCAATTTATCAGAATGGTATTTGCCAGTGTTTCTTAACCTTGGCAACTTGAAGATATGTGGAATTCTGGGAGTTGAAGCCCACACATCTTCCACTTGCCAAGGTAAGGAAACCCTGGTGTAGGAAGTCCACCTTCCCTTAAGTTCTCAGAGCTGAGAGAGATGGTTGTCAGTCATATGCAATTCTGACAGAATCCATATATCTGTTCCTGTAACCATTGTATAACCATCTGAAGAGCAAAAATTCATGAGTTCCGTTCCGTTCAAGAGTTTAAAAGCCCCCAAAAGAGCATTTCTCAATCATGGCAACTTGGGTGGACTTTTAACATGCTGACTGCAGAATTCTGGGAGTTGAAGTCCATCCATCTTAAAGTTGGCCGGCTGGAGAATTCTGGGAGTTGAAGTCCATCCATCTTAAAGTTGGCCGGCTAGAGAATTCTGGGAGTTGAAGTCCATCCATCTTAAAGTCGGCCGGCTGGAGAATTCTGGGAGTTGAAGTCCATCCATCTTAAAATTGCCATGGTTGAGAAACGCACCCTAGAATAACGTCTGGCTAGCTATATCTAACCAGTCCCATACTGGACAAAACTGGTTATGTAGCCTCTGCCTCCTAGTGGTCAGCAGAACTGGGGGCATGACTTAATGTAATATCTATCTTTCCCCTCAAGAGCTTAAGGGAAAATGAACTGTATATACCATTCAGATACCTTCTGCTTCCTACATTATGTTGTAAGACTGCATCTTTCCACGCTACGGTCCAAGTGGGAAAGGAAGACTCAGTTGCTCTCTTGCTTTCTCCCTCATTCAGGCATCTCTGGGAACTATTCCATCGTCAAAGGTTGTGCATCCCCTTCTTGGTGCAACAGTCCCTACACTTCCATCTACAAGAACCTGGGCAGCGTAGAAACCCACTGCTGTACTGGTGATCTGTGCAACAGCTTGATCATCGATGGAAAGCTAAAACCGTCTCCAAGGAGCCAAGCCAACCACCTCACCTTGGCCCACCATGCTATTATGTCAACGGGTCTCCTGCTTTTTATCGTTTTTCTCCTTTCTTGAGAAAGCTCCTGACCTCCAAGAGGAAGACGGATGCTTACTCCAGATCTGGACCAAGTAGGACTTAGAACTAGGACCTTTTCTACTTCTCCCCAATATTTAATGCAGCTGGGAATAAACAGGGAATTCCTGCTGAGAGCCCCTCCTTATGCAGGATTGTACACCTCACACCATTAAAGAGACCACAAGAATCCCTACAAAACCGGGGGTGAAGAAGAGACCGTTCTCGGGGACCAAAGAGTAGGTTTTCCAAGCACTCATGAGCCTCTCAATCTTCTCCCCTCCCTTTTTCAAAACAGTCATTAGCCAAGCTATCCATGCTTCCTTGAGAATATTTATTTTTCTTGACTATACGCAGGTAGTCCTCCGCTTACGACCACAACTGAGGCCAACGTCTCTGGTGCTAAGCGAGACATTTGTTAAGTGAGTTTTGCCCCGTTTTACAACTATTCTCCCTCCGCCTCTGAGCAATTTTGCCTCGTTGCAGCAAACAGCCTGCTTTACTTTCATTTTCGTTTTCAGCAGAGCTTGATTAGCACAAGGGGGAAAAAAAATCTGCTCCAGCAATTTTCTTCCTTGCAGCAAGCAGCAGAGCCCTGCGCAAAACAGCTGAGAGCAAAACAGCTGAGAGTCGGGAGGCCGATCCAATCAACTTGTGCTAATTAGGTTGTGCTGAAACTGAAAGGAGCTGTTTTTTAGGGGGGGGAAAGGTGCGTCTTATACGCTGAAAAATATGGTATATACTGCTTCACAGTGCTTTACAGTCCTCTCTAAGTGGTTTACAGAGTCAGCATATTTTCCCCCAGCAATCTGGGTCCTCATTTTACCCACCTTGGAAGGATAAATGGTCATAAGTCACTTTTTTTAGTGCCATTGTAACTTCGAACCGTCACGAAACTGTTGTAAGTCGAGGACTACCTGCAAGATGGCCAGCAGCCAGATCAGTATGGATAGCTTGGTGAGAATTTAGTTACGTGTTGTAAAAGAAGGGCTAGTGCCTAGGAAGGCCCGTGCTTCATGATATCTTGGGTTTCTGCTCAACAGGATAGAATAGAATAACAGAGTTGGAAGGGCCCCTCAGAGGTCTTCTAGTCCAACCCCCTGCTTAGGCAGGAAACCCTACACCACTTCAGACAAATGGTTATCCAATCTCTTCTTAAAAACTTCCAGTGTTGGATCAATGAATGTAAGTCAAGACTGCTGAATTATAGCAAAGGTGCTGGACACACATCTCGTGGGGAAAATCCTTATTTTTCATAGCCCGCCGTATAGGACACCATGAAATTCCTCATTCCTTTTATTTATACCTTCTTGATGCTATGAAGGACTCTTTTTAGCTGCTTGAACTCATGAAGATTCAGCCTTGTGGTCTTTTAAAATCTGGGTGGGGCACTCAAGAGCCGTCCCTGCCTTACCTACAAAGTTTGACTCATTATTGACACGAGGAACTTAAAAACGAGGAGCAGTTATTTTCCTCTTTTAGAAGTTTGTTAGCAGCGTGGAATGGTTTCTTCCTGTTATTTTATTATTTTATATATCTATTTATGGTAATAAAATATTTTTGTAACATTCAAAATGTATTCTTGAGGGCTTACTGTATTTTAATCATATTGACACTACAGACGGGTGTTCCTTCTAGATCAGTGTTTCTCAACCTTGGAAGCTTGAAGATGGGTGGACATCAACTCCCAGAATCCCCCAGCCAGCGTTGCTGGCTGGGGGATTCTGGGAGTTGAAGTCTACCCATCTTCAAGCTTCCAAGGTTGAGAAACACTGTTCTAGATGGAAGATAGAAAAGAGGTTTCGATGCCAAAGAGAATATAAAGGAGAATATTTGTAGATTAGGGTTGAAATGAGGGGTCCTTGCTGTACTCTGAGCCTGGTCGTTTTCTTGCAGACATTTTATGACCCAACTAGGTAGCATCCTCAGTGCCAGATGGGGGAAGGGGAGGTGTGGACTTCAACTCCCAGAATTCTCAGAATGGCTAGGGAATTCTGGGAGCTGAAGTCCATACAGCTTAAAGTCGCTGAAGTTGAGAAAAACTGAGGTAAGCAAAACTCTTAAAATGAGCCCATCTCATTGGAGGTGGCATTTTTCACACATTCAGATCAAAGGAATAAAAAGCAAACGTAAGTTTAATAATGTAAAAGAGTCGCTTTTCAATGTAATGAGTAAATTGTTAAATAAAGCAGGTAGCTACCTCTGTTTGCATTTTTAAATGGGCCTGCTTGCTCTGGCCTCTTTTATTTCCTCTAACACCAGATGTGATCAAAATTCGGATGCTTGGCAACTGGTTCATATTTATGACGGTTGCAGTGTCCCGGGGTCATTCTGTGACCTTCTGACAAGTAAAATCAACGAGGAAGCCATGTTCACTTAACAACCGTGTTACTAACTTAACAACAGCAGCGAATTCTGTCAATGCCCCCCTCGGAGTCTGAATCTGAGACGTAAGACGAACAGCTGAGAGAGAGCGGGAGAGTGGCTCCGTTGGCTGTAGAGGAAACTGGGGAAGGGCAAACTCAGGCTGGGCAGAGCAGGGGAGAGGTAGAACAAGGGAGAGGGGGTTCAGATGAAGACCAAGGCCCACCCCCTCCTCATCCTAGGGCGCGCAGGGAAGAACGCAGAAGAGAGCAACGTGGGTTGTGTAGCTTACGAGGAAGGAAAGGGCCCCAATTCCCTTCACAAGGCACACCTGGGGATGGAGTTTAAAGGAGAGGCAATTGGGAGGGGCAATTGTTGGGAACAAACGCTGAATTCATCTAGTGTTGGGAGTTGTGGCCTGTATTCCTGGCATTCCTCCTAACCAGAGGTGGGTTTCACATATTTTTACCACCGGTCCGCCACGCACCGAAAATGTGAGCACGCACCCTCACTTCGCACACGCTCACTTCACGCATGTGCACGCATGCACCTGGCCTTCAGCACATGCGCTTTGCTTGCGCGTGCGTCTTGCACACCTGTGCACGGCTTAGAAAATGTGGCATAGCACCGGGGTAGGGGAGTGGGCCCACCAGCCGTTGCCACTACTGGTTCTCCCGAGCGGATGCTGCCCTGATTGGGCCATGTGACTGATTGTTTGGGGTTGAACCGGGGGAAAACTTTTATTTTTATTTAGGTGAAAACCAAGGGGCCTCTCAGAGTTGGTTTTCACCAGATGTGTGCCAATATGATATTTCCAATAAAGCTGTTCTTTGAGGAATTCACCTGCCTCGGAAAGTTTTGCTTGCAATATTACCTGGAACCCTGACAGGCTACCTGCGTAGAGTTTATTTTAGCCAGCTATCCAAAATCATGGCCAGGCTTACAGTGTCTTAAAGATGTCTTAAACTCACTTCACAAATGTCTCACTTAACAACAGAAATGTTGGGCTCAATTGTGGTCGTTAGTCGAGGACCACCTGTGCTTATTTGGGAAACTTAAATGAACGCAATGCTACCATTATGCCACTAGAGGGCATAATGGCAGCATGTGTAGTCTCATCTGGCTATTTGTTCCATAAATATATTTAGGTTAGTATTTGAAGTATCTTTTTAACATTTATATTTTATTGTGTTTAATCAAGATGAAATGTTAATATATATTGCCGGTTCATGTATGATATGCCATACACTAAATAAATAAATTTAGCTTATTGTACACACTTTAAAAGTAAATTTTCCTTTATTGGGGATAGCACAGTATCTAATTCCATAATCAGCTGTGATAAAACTAAGAATTTTCCATGCGAGCACTGATAGTCATCTGCAGAACTGTTTTTCTTCTTTCTTTCTTTCTTTCTTTCTTTCTTTCTTTCTTTCTTTCTTTCTTTTCTTTTCTTTTCTTTTCTTTTCTTTTCTTTGTGATGCTTTTAAGGCTTTAAGGAAATCTCAGGTCACTGTAGCATCCTCTGGAACCAAACGTCCCATCAGATAATCATTTCTCACAGGACCAATGGCAGAAATGCTTCCTATGTAAAGAGCAATAGAATGAGCAGCATTTAATTAATTGAATTTTAATTTCAGTCAAATTAAGGATTTCCTAGCTCTATCCTCTTTTACTCCTATATCACAGTTTGTCACTATAGGCCCACTATGCCCAGGCGTGAAATCCAGCAGGTTCCAACAGGTTCTGGAGAACTGGTAGCGGAAATTTTGAGCAATTCAGAGAACCAGTAACGGAAATTTTGACTGGTTTGGAGAACCAGCAAATGTCACCTCTGACTGGCCCGAGTGGGGTGGGAATGGAGATTTTGCAGTATCCTTCTCCTGCCACGCCCACCAAGCCACGCCCACAGAACCAACAGTAAAAAAAATTGGATTTCACCACTGACTATGCCCTTAGTAAGATAATGGTTTTTTCCCTGTCCACTTGTGTCCGACTCTAGGGTGCGATGCTCATCTCTGTTTTGTGGCCAAGGGAGTCAGCCAGAGATTGTATTCAGCTGGTTTGCACCAGTTTGGGCGAACCGGGTCTGCCCACCTGCCTCGGCTCCAAATCGTGCTATTTAGGCACGTTTTTGAGGCTGGGCCAGGGATGGGTTCTACTTACCTTTACTATCGGTTCGCAACAGGAGCATAGATCATCAATTATGACGTCCAGGCAGAGCCTCGCGCCACTTTTACTACTGGTTCTAAAGAACCGGACAGAACTGCTTTAAAGCCTTTTTCCCTTCCTCAAAGATCTTGCAGCCCTCATTTCTTCTACTCCGGCTTTAATTGCAGCTCAACACAGAATGAAGAGATTCTCAGTCCTTACCAAATCCTGTGAAACGCGTCTCCCACCCCAGGGTTAAATCATTGTTAATGTTTAATAATATTAAAGAGTGTTGAATGGCCCCAGTAGTATTAACACCTCTGGGAGTGTTAAAAAGCCGTTGATCCATAAAGAAAAAAAAACAAAAAAAAACCCCAGCAACCACTTAATCAGCCTACTAGGATTTGGAAAATTTAAAAGGTAGAAATCTGTTTCGACGTGCATGGAGAGACCAAAAAAAAGGGGGGGGGGAACTAAAAATGAGTCTGCCCTGGGCCACGTTATTCTTTTCACTTTGCATTCCCGACTCCATCGGTAGAACTTCGTGCTCTGAAAGTGAAAGAATGAATTAGAGGCTGTTTTACATAACATCCGTTCTAAAAGAATTCCCACAGCTGGGTTTTCCTTACCTGACCATGTTTTCAGTAATACGTTGCAGATCCTATTTGCTCTTTGATCTGTTATTTGAGCCAGTGCATCCCTATGTTGTTGTTATTGTTGTTGTTGTTGTTGTTATTATTGGTTAATCTTTAGAGAGATTCACAGCCTTTGAGTCTGGTTAATAGCTCAGCAGCTCGAGTCCTAACCAAGGACACAGGAACTGTTAAGGTGGTTATATTATTATTATTATTATTATTATTATTATTATTATTATTATTATTAGTTAATCTTTAGTGAGATTCACAGCCTTTGAGGCTGGTTAATAGCTCAGCAGCTCGAGTCCTAACCAAGGACATAGGAACTGTTAAGGTATCGTCGGAGGATGTAAGCTGTTCTGAGTAAGGTGGTTTTTTGTAGAGTCAAAATGTTCAAGTCCGGCAAATTTAGAATTTCTAAATAGCGGGGTAGCCCTTTGGGTATTGCTCCGAGGGCTCCAATTACAATCGGAACAACACACAATTTCTTTTTCCACAGTCGCTCAACTTCAATTTGCAAGTCCCGGTATTTTGTGATTTTTTCTTGCAGCTTATCTTCAATCCGTGCATCACCAGGTATTACAATGTCAATGAACCATCCTTTTTTCTTTTCAACTATTGTTATGTCAGGTGTGTTGTGGACCAAGTGCCTGTCAGTCTGAATCCTAAAGTCCCACAAGATCTTGAGTTTCTCATTCTCTAAAACTTTCTCAACCTGATGTTCCCAGTGGTTTTTGCTGTACTCAAATTCAAACTTCTGGCACAATTTCCAGTGAATGATCTTAGCAACACGGTCATGGCGTTGTAGGTAGTCAGTTTGTGAAATTTTGCTGCACCCACTGATCAGGTGGTCGACTGTCTCATCTTTCTCATTGCAGAGGCGGCATTTGCTGTTGGTGGTAACATGTTGAATTTTTGCCTTCATGCAGTTTGTGGCTAGGGCTTGTTCTTGAGCTGCCAAAATAAAGCTTTCTGTTTCTTTTTTCAGTACTCCTGATCTTAACCAGTTTCAAGTTAGTTTCTGGTCAGCTTTGCCTTCAATACTTTTCAAGTATTGGCCATGTAGAACTTTGTGTTTCCAATTTTCAGCTCGCTGCTCAATTACTTCTTTCTTATATTCTGCTTTTGTTTTAGTTGTCTTTAAAAGGCGTTGTTGTTGTTGTTGTTGTTGTTGTTGTTGTTGTTGTTGTTGTTATTATTATTATTATTATTATTATTATTATTATTATTAATTAAATTTTTATACCGCCCCTCTCCCGAAGGACTCAGGGCGGTGTACAGCCATATTAAAACAACATATACCCACAAAATTTAAAAACAGTTTAAAATATATTAAAAATTTGGCCCTTATATTAAAAACTACAAACACCCAATTAAAATTCATTTTCTAAGCCAGCCCAGCCTGTTGAAACAAAAGAGTCTTAAGGGCACGGCAAAAAGTACGTAGGTCGGGGATCATGCGAATCTCCGGGGACAATTCATTCCAGAGGGTAGGTGCCCCCACAGAGAAGGCTCTCCCCCTGGGTATCGCCAGTCGACATTGTTTGGCCGACAGCACCCTGAGGAGACCCTCTCTCTGTGGGAGCATATTGGCCGGTGGGAGGCTATCGGTGGCAGAAGGCGATCTCGTACATACCCAGGTCCTATGTAGGCACCTTCCTGAAAATTAAGCCATCTAAGAATTGAGGAGGGTCTCTGCATCTCCTATCTGGGGTGGGCTTTCTTGGGGTGGGGACACATGTGAGAGAAGGCACTGCCCCCCAGGCTTTTTATACAGAATAACAGAGTTGGAAGGGACCTTGGAGGTCTTCTAGTCCAACCCTCTGCTCAAGCAGCAGATCTTATACCATTTCCATTTATACCAGACAACTGACTGTCCAATCTTTTCTTCAAAACTTCCAGTGATGGAGCACCCACAACTTCTGAAGGCAAACCATTCCAGCGATTAATTGTTCTGAAGTTAGAAATACACGTTTTTCTTTATTGGTTCTCTCCTTGATTTGTTCCCATCTGCTGCTTCTTGTTTTCCATCTATTGCTTCTGGTCTTGCCTTCAGGTGCTTGGAGAATACGATGGTTTCATGTCATTCATGTGGCTTTAATTCTTGTATTTGGAACTTGGCCTGGCCGTAAATGACTCTGAGTCAGCATTGTTTCTTTTATATTGTGCATTTTTTTTTGACCTTGACCTTCTTGCTGTTTTCTATGCTTGACTGAGCTGCACTCTCTCTCTCTCTCTCTCTCTCTCTCTCTCTCTCCTTCCTTCCTTCCCTCCCTATCTATCTATCTATCTATCTATCTATCTATCTATCTGATGTCAGCACTTCAAACTGCATTTACTATAGTGCTGACATAAGAAGGAGAAGCGGAGGCGTCTGGAAAGGGACGTTTGACTTTTCACCTACTTATTTTCCCTGGAGATAATATCCCCTAGGAGATGTGATGGGAAGGGGGAAATTCCTTTGAGCTGGAGCAGTGGATTAGGGGTAGAATGACTTGGAAGATGGCCAATGAGTGCAGGGGAGTGGGGAACGGAAAGGGAGGGTTTTGGGTCTGGAAGTCAGTGTTGGTTTCGATGGAGTCGGAGTTAGAATGTCGTGCTTAATAAATGGGAGTTTTTCTTCAAAGACTTTGTTTGAAATGCAATTTATTTGAGACGACCTCGAAACCTGACATCTATCTATCTATCTATCTATCTATCTATCTATCTATCTATCTATCTATCTATCTATCTCTCCCCCTCCCTCCCCCCTTCCATTCTTGGATCTCTGTGCTAATGCATAAGATCCCATGACACAACCTGGTAGCTGGTGTGGGAATAATGTGCAAATGGGCATAATTAAAGATGAGTATTTCACACCTACCTTGGTCACCACTCCTCTTCCTACATGTAAGGTATTCACCAGGAAAACAAAAATGATCTTGTTTTTACCGAGCTGTGAATAGATTTGCCACTTAGTGTTTTAAACCATCATACCTTCTTCTCCCATGCTGACGTGGGCTCAGGGTTGACGTGACTCAAACCATCCAAGATTTCTTTTACAGGCTTCTGTAATTCACTGTACATGTTGCACAATTTCCTGGACTATTGGAGTTAATCTGGGACAGGAAACAATAAAAACAGATGATCCAGGCAAGAGGCAAGGAAGCCACCAAGATTTTTTTTTTTTTAAAGGTAGCATGAAATATATTATTCCTTTCCAGGCTGGTATAACAAGCTGAGCCCAACCAACAGGCCAGGGTTGGGATTATTAACAGGCATGCAAAAACCGTGAGAATCCTGCTATTTCAGAAAGAGTGGTAGAGCAAGCAGAATTTCAGTTTTTCAGTGTGAATCACAGCAAACTTGACCTACCTTGTGATTTCAATCCAATGTAGAGCCTGATGCATTACAGCTAGTCCCCATTTAGCAACCGCACTCAAACCCAGCAACTTGGTCATTATTAAGAGAAGCAATTGCTAGCCTCGTGGTGTAACTGGAACAATCTGGAACTGAACACACTCAAAACCGTAGAAATGATGGTAGACTTTAGGAGAAACCCTTCCATACTTCCACCTCTCACAATACTAGACAACACAGTATCCACAGTAGAGACCTTCAAATTTCTAGGTTCTACCATCTCGCAAGATCTAAAATGGACAGCTAACATCAAAAACGTCATCAAAAAAGCACAACAAAGAATGTTCTTTCTGCACCAACTCAGGAAGCTCAAACTGCCCAAGGAGCTGCTGATCCAGTTCTACAGAGGAATTATTGAGTCTGTTATCTGCACCTCTATAACTGTCTGGTTTGGCTCTGCAACCCAACAAGACAGACACAGACTTCAGAGGATAATTAGAACTGCAGAAAAAAACCATGGCTACCAACCTGCTTTCCATTGAGGACCTGTATACTGCACGAGTCAAAAAGAGAGCTGTGAAAATATTTACAGACCCCTCGCATCCTGGACATAAACTGTTTCAACTCCTACCTTCAAAATGACGCTATAGAGCACTGCACACCAGAACAACTAGACACAAGGACAGCTTTTTCCCGAACGCCAACACTCTGCTAAACAAATAATTCCCTCAACATTGTCAAACTATTTACTATGTCTGCACTACTATTAATCTTCTCATCGTTCCCACCACCCATCTCCTTCCACTTATGACTGTAGGACTATAATTTTGTTGCCTGTATCCTTACAATTTATATTGATATTGTTTCCTGATTGCTTATTTGTATCCTATGACTATCATTAAGTGTTGTACCTTATGATTCTTGATGAATCGTATCTTTTCTTTTATGTACTCCGAGAGCATATGCACTAAGACAAATTCCTTGTGTGTCCAATCACACTTGGCCAATAAAAAATTCTATTCTATTCTATTCTATTCTATTCTATTCTATTCTACTCTACTCTACTCTACTCTACTCTACTCTACTCTACTCTACTCTATTCTATTCTATTCTATTCTATTCCATTCTATTCAGTGAAACCGTAACCGTGCTTACAATCTTCCTTCAGCTTTCCATATGAAAAAGCAAAGATCATAAATGTGAGGATTGGTTGCAAAGTTACTTTTCCGACACCGTCGTAATTCTGAACTGCCGCTAAAAAAAGGCAGCCAAAGACAGTCACTAAATGAGACTTTCTGTAATTTCTATTGCTATTCCTCAGTTTGTATTTACTGTCTCATCTAGCAGGACTTCTCAAAGAGGTTAACAAAACAAAAGACAGAAATATATACTACAAATGCCATGAAGACATAATTAAAATGAAAGCATGGAAGTGATAAAATCACCTTGCATTTTTTTAGTCATTCAGCTTTTTTATTTGAAAATGTTTTGCACAAAAGTACAAAAGAAACAGAACCAAAAAATGTTGAATGTTTCACATAAATGTTTTTTTAAAGTATCCAAAAATGATAAGAATTCCCCTTTAAAAAACCCTACCAAAAAAAAAAAAAAAACCACACAGAAAGCAACAAGAAATTAAATAAATAATAACAAAAAAGGATAACAAACTAGCCAAATAGGTCATACACCTGTCAATTCAAGGTCAGTTTAAAACAATGTCACATCTTTGAAATGTTCTAGATTTTTTTAAAATCTAGAAACTGTGCCTGGTACAAAACAACCACAAAAAACAACATATATATATATAATATATATATAATTTATATTTAACTGATAAAGAAATAAAGGGAGACTAGTATAGATCTATTTCAAGCAATTTAGCTCTCATCAGCTAGCCACACCCCTACTTGGATTCGAACTTGGGCTGCCTGCAGGTAGCCACAAGTTCTCTTCCCTTCATCATCTTGAGCCAGGGGAGAGCTTAAATGTTTTTCTATCGAGACACCTGGTCTACCCCAGCATGTGGGAGGGAGCATACTGCATCCCTTTCGCCTTTCAGCTCCAATCCAGGAGCCCTCAAGCAGATGCATTCACGACAAACCATTTTATACCAAATTTATATTTCGCTGATAAAGAAATAAAGGGAGACTAGTATCTATCTATCTATCTATCTATCTATCTATCTATCTATCTATCTATCTATCTATCTATCTAAAGTGTTTTTCTGTCGAAGCACCTGGTCTACCCCAATATGGGAGGGAGCATACTGCTTCCCTTTTGCCTTTCAGCTCCAATCCAGGAGCCCTCAAGCAGTTGCATTCACAACAAACCATTTTATACCAAATTTATATTTCGGGTTTTCTCCCGCGTAAAATTGGAAGTGTCTTGGCGACGTTTCGACAAAGTCTCATTCGTCATCTTCAGGCTGGTGTTTTAAAACAAATATATATATATTTGTTTTCTTCTCTTATCGTAGGCCCTTTATGTGTATTTCTCCTCAGCCGAGTATTTTCCTACGTAAACCAAGATTTTCAAAATGCTGCCATAGCTCAGTGAAATCACATTCACTAGTTCTAGGCTTTTTCAGACAACAAGCAGTTTGCTGCCTTTTGGGAGACTAATATAGATCTATTTCAGACTAATTAGTCCTCATCAGTTAGCCACACCCTCATCACGTTTCCTCCCCGTAGAGGTGACCCCCATAGAGGTCAATACGTGACCTCTATGGGGAGGAAACATGAGATGAGGGTGTGGCTAACTGATGAGGACTAATTAGTCCGAAATAGATCTATATTAGTCTCCCAAAAGGCAGCAAACTGCTTGTTGTCTGAAAAAGCCTAGAACTATATGATTGGTTGATAGTGAGAACAATTAATCAATGGATGGATTTTCCTTGAGAAGTTGTGGGTGCTCCATCATTGGAGGTTTTTAAGAAAAGACTGGACAGCCCACTTGTCTAGAATGGGTATAAGCAGGGAGTTGGACTAGAGATCCCTTCCAACTCTATTACTCTGTATTTTCTGCTTATAGTCACCTATCTGGCCCATAACTCAAGACCCCTCTTAAGTGTTTCATATTCCCATGCCTGGGTCAGCTCAGCTGCCATTTGAAGTCATACATTCTAAATAATGTGCCAGATCAACCAAGCTAGTTATTTACATTTGGAGAATTCTTCTTATCAGACTTTTAATTATGGTGGTTGCATTTCTTTTGGGAAGCAAGCCTGGATCAGAGCACATGGAAGAACCAGCCCAGAGCAAGCAGCTGCCACACATAATCCATGCCCATCTGCACCCTAATTTCCTGGGCGCCACAGAAGTCATCCAACCAGTTTCAAACCTGCTGGCTTCAATCCTCAATCTTTGACAATGGGGAAGATAGTAGCTGCTTCAGAGTCAATATCAATAAGTCATTGAAGTCTGTGATTGCCCCAGGATTTAATATTCTTGTCCAAACTGAATTGCTGAAGGCAAAACCCAACACAAGAGAAACACAATAATACATCAAAGCACCCTCATAATAAACCGAAGTTAAGTTTGTACAATGTGCATTACCACTTAAAAAACTAGTCAAAAAACTAGTCAAAAAAGGTTGTCATAAGGGTAGTCCTTACTTACGACCATAAGGTAAAGGTTCCCCTCGCACACATGTGCTAGTCTTTACCGACTCTAAGGGACGGTGCTCAACTCCGTTTCAAAGCCGAAGAGCCAGCGCTGTCCAAAGACGTCTCAGTGGTCATGTGGCCGGCATGACTAAACGCCAAAGGTGCACAGAACGCTGTTACCTTCCCACCAAAGGTGGTCCCTATTTTTCTACTTGCATTTTTTACCTGCTTTCAAACTGCTAGGTTGGCAGAAGCTGGGACAAGTAACGGGAGCTCACCCCATTACGTGGCACTAGGGATTCGAACTGCTGAATTGCCGACCTTCCGAATGACAAGCTCAGTGTCTTAGCCACTGAGCCACTGCGTCGCTTCTCTTATGACCATAACTGAGCCCAAAACTTCCACTGTTAAGCAAGACAGTTGTTAAGTGAGTTTTGCCCTATTTTACAACCTTTCTTGCCGCGGTTGTTAAGTGAATCACTGCAATTGTTAAGTTAGTAACACGGTTGTTAACCGAATCTGGCTTCCCCATTTGCTTGCCAGAAGGTCGCAAAAGATGATCACATGACCCCGGAACATGGCAGCCGTCATAAGTACACGCCAGTTGCCAAGCATCCAAATTTTGATCACGTGACCATGGGGATATTGAAGCAGTTGTTAAGTGTGAAAAACAATCTGAAGTCACTTTTTTCAGTGCTGCAGTAACTTTGCACAGTCACTGAATAATGGTTGTAAGTCGAGGCCTATCTTCATGGTTAGGTTTGTGTGCTACCTGTGTTAAGTCTGGTTCTGTATGAACTCAATGCGATAGGTCAGCCCCAAAACTTTTGGGCCAAAAGGGTTGACTCACTAACCAAGTTAAATATACAGTCAAGGCGGTTTAGACAAGAAGATAATTTCCAAGAATTTCTTCAAAATTGTTCCATATTTTGACCCAGCATGGCAGGGAGGGGCAAAATCAGCTAATTTTGGAACCCCAGTGGAGAGAAGAAGAAGAAGAAGGAAGAAGAAGAAGAAGAAGAAGAAGAAGAAGAAGAAGAAGAAGAAGAAGAAGAAGAAGAAGAAGAGAAGAAGAAGAAGAAGAAGAAGAAGAAGAAGAAGAAGAAGAGGAGGAGGAGGAGGAGGAGGAGGAGGAGGAAGGAGGAGGAGAGGAGGAGGAGGAGGAGGAGGAGGAGGAGGAGGAGGAGGAGGAGGAGGAGGAGGAGGAGGAGGAGGAAAACTAACTAGTAGCAAACTACACAACTGGAATTTTGGAAGAATATTCTCTGTATGTTCACAGGAAGTAAGTTCTCATGAGTTTAGTCAACCCTACTCTCAGGAAAATGCACCTCACTTTTATGAGTTTTTCCTCTACATTTATCCGTCGCACCTACCCACAATTCATTCTAGAAGAACACAGTGACAAATGCCAGACAAACCCGTTTCTCTCAAAAGGCAGGATAACAATCTAACAATTAAACAGGTAAATGTCCACCCAACTAACTGGAGAACAATATGGGACAATATGGAATAACACTGCACTATTATTTTTTTCCTTTAAAATATATAAGCTACATTGAGGCTTATAACCGCACCCATCCTTTCTTTACAGGGTAAATTTCTCGTTGAACTCATCTAAGTTTTTTTTTTTTTCCAAAACTGGGCCATGTAATTGTTGGAACACGTTACCTTCTATTTTTAACTTGCTGCCTGAACTCTTAACAATCATAGAACTGACTGAAATTCTTCTGGAGAAAGAAGAAAGAAAAAACAAAACAAGGATTGAGAAAATGTTTTCCCTTGTGGAACTGGGAATTATTTGTCACGCAACTCTTTGAATCTAAGATGTTGCTCCAGATAAAGTCACCTAAAGCCACAGAGCGTAGCCACCTTAGAAAGAGTTCCAGGTATTCTGACTCACACTGTTGTCTTCTCTTTCTTCCACGACCTCATTTTAAGTTTCGATTATTGTGCCCTGCACATTTTTGTCTAACTGTATGCATTCTATGAAGTTTCAGTCTACATGATGAAGCGTGTTCTGGCATGTCCGATGCAGGAATAGTTGGAGGCCCAGATGTTGACTCAAGCTGGGTTGCTGAGTCACAGAGATGACACCGTATCTTCTCTAATACAACAAAAAAGGTGGGAAAGAGGCCACGTCTGAGTCATTCCTTTACATGACACAGGTGCCAACTTTTCCATTGACCTTGGTGGAAAGATTACACACACGAAACTTCATGAGATCACACAGTGCCCTGGCTACGGTGCAATCTCACTCAGAGATCTCTGCAGCTTTCCTTGAAGGCAGAAGATCTAACTGGGTTGTCTATATTTTTGGTGTGATCAGATGTCTGTAGAGATTCTCAGTCATCCAGGTCATGGTTGTCCCAAAAGTGCTTTTTCAGGAGGCAACTGGACTTTCTGTCTTTTCTTTTGAAGACGTTTCGCTTCTCATCCAAGAAGCTTCTTGAACTCTGACAGGATAGCGGGGAATGGAAGGATTTATATTCCTTCCATTCCATTATATTTATAAAGGAATATAAATTCCTTTATAAACCAAGAAAGAAGCTTTTTGTGGGGAAAAAAATGAAGAGAATTCACCACGCTTCCTCCTATAGTACCATGGAAGTCAGACTTAAAGATCGCAAAACTTTGATTTGGCACTTCTATGTTTATCTATTTATTTGTTCGGTTTATATCTCTGTTTTTCTTCCTGCTGCTCAAGGAAATCTACTTAGGATTCCTCCTTGTTGTGTGATGTCCACAACCACAATGGAAGGCAATGCTGAGAGTGTCAGGATTCCAAGTAACATACCCATAGCAAACAAAACTCTGAGGCAGGCAATTTCCTCAAAGAATAGGTTTATTGTCTATGTCATATTGACACAGGCTGGTGAAAACCGACTCTGATTATTCCTGCGGTTTTCCTCTTAATTAAAAGTAAAAGTTTTTCACTTTCTCAAAACAATCAGTCACATGGTTCAATCAGGTTACTGTTCAGTTGCTAGGTGACTCCAATCCCCTCCTTCTGAGCACCTGCAGGAATGTCCTTGGTTCTCAAGAGAAAGTATTTTGTTTTGACTAGAACACACCAATTATCTATGGCTTAGGGCCGGGGTACTTACGAGACCGCCTTCTGCCACCAATAGCCTCCCACCGGCCAGTACGCTCGCACAGAGTGGGCCTCCTCAGGGTGCCGTCCGCCAGACAATGTCGGCTGGCGACCCCCAGGGGGAGAGCCTTCTCTGTGACGGCGCCCACCCTCTGGAACAACCTTCCCCCAGAGCTACGTATAATAACAGACCTCCGGATTTTTTGTCGGGCCCTGAAAACCTATTTATTTCAACTAGCTGGGCTGGCTTGTGCTAAATTTTAAATTGATTTTAAAATGGGTTGTTTTAATTCACGGCCAAAATATTTAATTATTTTAATACTGTTTTTTAAATTTTGTATGCTCTGTTTTTACTTAGGCTGTGCACCGCCCTGAGTCCTATTTGGAGAAGGGCGGTATAGAAATTTAATTAATAAAATAAAATAAAATAATATCTCTACTCCCCCGCCCTCCCTGTCCCTTTTCTCCACTGTGTCAGCGCTGAAGTCTCAAAATGGCCTCAGACAGGCCAGCTTCAGGGTTGACCGAGAGACTGATGGATCCAAGGCCACTTGGTGATGTACAAATGAATACAAATTCTGAGTCCTGAATTTGGCCCATCCCTGCAACCAGAGTACCACAGCATCCGCAGCGCACGCTATTTTTTAGGGAGGAAAAAATCTTGAGTAAAAATTTCATAGATTTTTTTTTTTAATGATGATTTTGGTGTTGTTATTGTTATTGAGCTGAGGTTGCCAGTCCCGCCATTCATTGTGCTTGTGTAACTACATTAGAATTGCCAGCCTGGTCTTTTTGTTTTGTTGTGTTTGTGACACGTTTCTCAGGTTGAACCACTATCTGGAGTTAGATACAACCTCTTGTACTACCGGCTAAATTTAGCTGACGCAGGAGAAAAAGGATGTATTTATTTATTTATTAATCACATCTATATAGCCGCCCCTCTCACGCAAAGTGAGGGGAAAAGGGAAGAAAAAGAGAGAGTGGTTTGTTGGGAGTCTCAATGTTTGTGCGTGAAACATGAAGGAAAGAACTTGAAATGTAAGAAATTCAAAGGCAAACTAAAAAAAAAAAATATGGCACTAATAAATTGGTTTGCTCCTCCCGCCCCCTCGGATTTCTGATTGTTATTACATAACCTTGGGCAGAAATGAGGAACAGAATTTGAGCAAAAAATTGTTTTGATGCTCTGAACAGAAAAAAAAATAAAGAATATAAAAATAAAACAGAGCAGCCTTCTAAAGTGGGAAGGAAAGAGATGATAACAATAGTTACGGACCAGTCTTTCCACAATTCTCATCCAGCAAGTAATGGGGAGGTGAGCTTTATTTTGTCCAAACTCAAGAGAGGAGTTAACTACAGGTTTAACTGTACGTAAATAATCCTTTATTCCCTCAAGGATCACTTAATTAACAACGCCGTGCCTCTCCCACCAAGCCTATTATTTAAAACCTGACTTTATTTATCCAGCTCTTCTGCTACTTCTCTTTAGCCTTCTTGTTAAAATCATGTCAAGGTTCTTTTTAATATATCCCTATAAATTGTTTATTCTTTTCCCTGAACAGAGGTCATACAACTATAGCTTCCTCTTTGAGAGAATTGGGAATAGCTTTCAAAGGCTGGAAGCATCTCAGCCTGCTTTACAAAGTCTAGCATCTCCATGCTGGTGGGCCTACAGGTGTCTGTAGGCTTTGGTCAAGGAAGATGTGCATTAAACTAAAAATAGACGCTATCGTGACCAACCTCCTGAGTTTTTGGACCACACGGTGTGGATACACTTAACTGTTGGGCAAATCAAGTTCCCATCAATCCCTTATTCACCAGAAGGGCCGATTCAATAGGAGAAGCAGGGTTAAATAGGCAATCCTCGACGTACCACCACAGCTAAGCCCAAAATTTCTGTTGCTAAGTGAGACACTTATTAAATGAGCTTTTACAATCCACAGTTGTTGAGTCAGCCGCTGCAGTTCTTAAGTTAGGAACATGGTTGTTAAGTGAATCTGGCTCCTCCATAGACTTTGCTCGTCAGAAGTTCTCAAAAGGGGATGACATGATCCTGGGACCAGGGGTGGGCTGCTGGGGGTTCACAGGGGTTCGGGAGAATCTCTAGCTAAGATTCTGTACAGTTCAGAGAACCCCCAAATCCCAATCCTGGCTGGCCCTGCCCCGCCCACCCTGCCCCTCCCAGGAATCCCTACGTGGCCTGTTTTGGATGCAGGTAAGTGCAGGTTGTGTGTGGAGGCTCGGGGAGGGCGAAAAACGGGCCTACTGGAAGTTCGAGAAGGCTGGGGACTGTTTCCGGCCTCCAGAGGGCCTCCGGAGCCTGGGGAGGCCATTTTCACCCTCCCAAAAGCTCGAGGAAAGCCTCCAGAGCCCGGGGAGGGCAAAAACGCCCATCACCACCACCGTGGTGCAGGAGGCCGACTAAGCCACGCCTACCATGGCCACGCCCACCCAGCAACCAGACAGAGAACCCCTTGCTAAAATTTTTGAAGCCCACCCCTGCCTGGCACACTGCCACCGTCATAAATAGGAACCAGTTGCCAAGCATTCAAATCTTGGTCACATGACCTTGGGGGATGCTGCCACGGTCGTAAGTGTGAAAAAAAAACGGCCATGTCCCTTTTTTCCGTGGGTTCGTAACTTCGAATGTTCACTAAACAAACGGTTGTAATACAGGGGAAGACCTGCATTCCTTCCGAGGAAGGTGGAAGAGCTGTAGCAACTCCTTATCTTGATCTACATGAGGTTTACCTCCTGGCAACCAAAGCAGGGCCCTGCCATGACCTCCCAAATGGTTTCACTTGATGGAGAAAAGAAGAATTCCTTTCCAATGTCTTCCATCGCCTTTGCCATCTCTTGCTCCTCCAAGTTCAGACTTGCCTCTAATTAGGCAGGAGAATTGTTCTCTCCTGCCTCAAAGTCCTGGATGAAGAATGTAAAAAACACACACACACACACAAAAACCCCTCAACTGGCTGTACTAGTTCCCGAAAGGGGCGTCACTCCAGTAAGTGGCCTCCAAGTGCTGGGAAAGGGAAGTGATGGGTTAGAGAGTGGGATGGGATGAATGGAAGAAAGCCCTCAAGGCAAGCAAGAAGCTGCTGAGCAGCCAAATCTAAGGAGGCGTGGCTGAGGGACGAGAATGAACGCCCTGCCCAAGTCATCGACTTATATTTAATGTTTAAGCTTGAACTTTTTAAGGGACTTGACAGAAGCAGAACGTTCTCAAGACCGGCAAGGGGAAAAGAAAAAAGAACCAAGGCAACGTTGGGACTTAGACGACGTAATGATGGGCGCCTACCTACAGCTCCAGATGAGCCCGTCTGTCCTTCTGGTGGCTTTGACGTTTTTCATGAAAGGTAAGAGGACGGGAGATGGTATGGCAACTGCTACAGCTTCAGGATAAGCCATGTTGGAACCAGGAATGCTTGGAAGGCAAGGGGTGGCCTCTGGAAAAAGGCTTGGATGAGAAGTTCAAGTGGGAACTTCTGAGCTATCTTGGCTCAGCTCTCAGGAATGGTACCTAGTGATTGGTGATAAAGAAAGCATCGAGGATATAAAATAAAGGCCCATCCTTACCCATTTCGGCCTAATTGCTACACCTATCTGTAATAAATCTAAATTCTAGCACAGAAGCTAAACAAATCCTTAAATGAAAGATTTTTCCAGGGCGTTAACCATACCAGGTTCAAATAAGGAACTTTGCTTGGCATAAATGCATGGAAGTGCCAAAACGGTTGCTCTAAAGATCAAAGCAATATTTTTTAGGCCATGCTGCTGCCAATGTGTGTCCGCTGCAGTATATATTTACTTTATTGTACTGGTTTTTTAAATTGTTTTTAATTAATGGTCTGATTGTTTGCCACTACCCAGAGTTATTTGTTTGAATGGGTAGCCATATAAATTGAATAAATAAATAAATTAACTTAGATTACTGTATGTCATTTCTCTAAAATAGTTCTTGTGGCAAATGTCTGTCTGTCTATCTCTCTCTCTCTCTCTCTCTCTCTCTCTCTCTCTCTCTCTCTATCTATCTATCTAGCTATCTATCTATCTACATAATCTATCTATCTATCTATCTATCTATCTATCTATCTATCTATCTATCTATCACCTATCTATCATCTAGCTATCATCTAGCTAGCTAGCTATCAATCGTCTAGCTATCACCTACCTATCTGTCATCTATCTATCTATCTATCTATCTATCTATCTATCTATCTATCTATTTATCCATCCATCCATCCATCCATCTTTCATCTATCATCTATCTACCTATTATTTATCTATGTATCTATTTTTCTATCTATGATTCTATCTCAGTCTCTCTATATATATCTGTTTGTCTGTCTGTGTCTGTCTGTCTGTCTGTCTATCTATCTATTTATCTATCTATCTATCTATCTATCTATCTATCTATCTATCATCTATCTACCTTCTATATCATCTGCATTCCTATCAACTGATTGAAGAATACAAGGCATTCTTTTAGTTTTTCAAAGGGTTAAGTATTAGTTTTCCAAATAATTGATTCAGGCTCTCTTAATCACAACTTTCCTTCAAAAGGAAGTTTACTTTCTTTTTTCTGTCTTTTTTTTTTCTATCATGAAATAATAGAGGCCATTGTCTACTTGTGAGCTGAGATGTGCAGCTGAAAAAGCCAGGTTGATAAATTGCGAGGACAGTTGTATTATTCAACTCAGTGATGAATTTTGTTGTATGGCGTGTGGCATGGCTTCATTTATTCACTTCACATTCTTTGGGCAATAGGCTATGGCAGTTCCATTGTGGGCTTGTCTACATTGTTTAAAGGGAGGATGTAAAACAACAGCTGTAACTCTATTTCAGAGTTTCTCAACATCAGCAGTTTTAAGACGTGTGGACTTCAACTCCCACAATTCCCCAGCCAGCCATTCTGCCTGGGAGATACTGGGAGTTGAAGTCCACACATCTTAAAGCTGTTGAGATTGGGTAACCCTCTCTCTATTTGACTGAGGACACAATATGGCAACCTGGTTTTGGTCTCTTTCCAATAAAAGTTGGGAAAATCAGAAAGGCATTCGGGTTCCTCATTATCCTCAGCAATTGGAAGACTGAGAAATAAGGCAACCATGACTCTCATTGAATAAATGATCATTTATTTAGGTAGATACATCAGGAAATGGTCACCCATTGAGCCTATGAGGCTGAAGAGGATTTTACCACAGATCTCTGAACTTCACTGAAGATCTGGGGGAAAAGGACCTTGGCCTTCATTCTCCTCACCTCATAAAAAGCTAATAGAACCAACCATTTCCTCAAAGGCAAAAGGGGGATGACATCACAAATGTCATGAGGTCATTGTACAAAGGACAAGAAATTTGGAGTTGACATAATTTGTAGAATTGACCTACATGACATCATTGTGGCTTCTAACACAGACCAAGGCTGGCAGTGTCAGATCAACAGGCAATGCCTTACCATCTGAGGAAAAATTATGCTGTTGTTTTTTTTACAGTCAAGCCCATCTTTTGTTCCACAATCAACCCCCAAAGGCCAAAAAGGAAAGATAATCATAATTCAAAGAAAAAAAACAAACCATGGTTTAGATTTTTTGCCTCTTTTCCAATAGGCCTCTTTAGAAGCCTGATGACCACAGCCAACGTGGCCAAACCTATAGCTGTTCAGCATATGCCTCTTGTGCGTATATGCCTATACAATTATTTTACAAAATGGGAGAGAGGGATGGAAAATAGGGATTTTTGTTTTAGGACATTTAACCATTGTTTCTGAAGCACTAGAAAGAGCGGGTTAGAAATAAAATTAAGATAACTTCAAAACACGAAAATATGAGTGCTAAATAGAAGGGGATTCTAAACATGGTTTGTGATTGTGCGGTCAAGCCAGGGATGGTTTTTACTTACTTTCCCTACTGGTTTGCAAATGTGAGCACACGTGTGTCCCCATCCATGCATGTGCCTGGCCTTCCACGCATGTACTTTGCTGGCGCACATGCGCCCAGCCTCAAAAATGTGTGTAAATAGGATTGCATAGAGCCGGTGCAGGTAGGTGGATCCAGCCATGATTTCTTCTACTGGTTCGGGTAAACTGGTCCAAACCAACTGAATACCACCTCTGAGTCCAACTCATACCTGCCTCAGACAGGATCTCTCTTCCATAGGATGTTTGACCCTACCAAAATCAATGATTCCTTTCAAATCTAAGGCCTCCTTCTCAAGACTTCGTTTTCCGGGGATAGACAGTTCTTTAAGGTTACACAACACGGAATTTATAGGGTAGCTTTGTCAGCAAGGAATCATCGTTATGCATCATTCAACAAAAATTCCAGACTGGAGAAAGTTACGCAATAACCTAACTTAAAGCTCACCTGGGGAAATCATTTCAAATAACCCGTTTTAGAGTCATCTAATTCGGCTTCCTGTCCAGAACTACCTCTGGTGTGATGTATCCGTATCCAGACTTCCATAAGGAAGGTCTTTGCACCGTTCCAGAATGAGATTTCCATCCGGGTGATCTCACGGCACTGTTTTGGTTTCATGGCTGGGCCCAATTATTTCCGGCGATGTTTGTGGCTTATTGAAAACCGCCGAAAACCTGGTCTTCCTTTGAACTGCTGCAGCTGTGGGAAGCTTGTGGGTGACCCGTTTCCTCATTTGCAAGAGCTCTGGCTGCACCCTGTCCCTCAGCCTCCAGATATCCTAACAGGTCTTTCAAGGAGAGAAGCAGTTTGATGGATCGCTTCTTCCAGATGATAGGACTTCCTCATCTTATTTGCTCATTTGTTTATCTGGGTTTCGGCAGACAAATACAACATGAGTAAAGACATAGATGAAGAAGGCAAGCAGAATAACAGAATAACAGAGTTGGAAGGGACCTTGGAGGTCTTCTAGTCCAACCCCCTGTTCAGGTAGGAAGGAAACCCTCTACAATTCTGGACAAATGATTGTCTTGAAAACCTCCAGTGATGGAGCTCCCACAACTTCTGAAGGCAAGCCGTTCCACTGGTTGATTGTTCTCACTGTCAGGAAATTTCTCCTTAGTTCTAGGTTGCTTCTCTCCTTGCTTAATTTCCCTCCATTGCTTCTAGTCCTGCCTTCAGGTGTTTTGGAGGCAGGTATTTCAGATTGACCGCTTCTTCTTTGTCACAACCCCTTAGAACATTATTATCATGTCACCCCAGTCCTTCTTTTCATTAAACTAGACATACCCAATTACTGCAATTGTTCTTCATATGTTTTGGCTTCCGATCCCTTAATCGTCTTTGTTGCTCTTCTCTGCACTCTTTCTAGAGCTTTAATATCTTTTTTACACTGTGGCAACCAAAACTAGGTGCAATATTCCAAATGTGGCCTTACCAAGGCATTATAGAGTGGGACTAACACTTCACGTGATCTTGATTCTATCACTCTGTTTATGCAGCCTAGAACTGCGTTGGCTTTTTTAGCACACGGCTGGCTCATATTCAAGTGACTGTCCACTAGGACTCCAAGGAGATTGGACTGCCATTTGTCAGAAATGGTGTAGGGTCTCCTGCTTGGGCGGGGGGTTGGACTAGATGACCTACAAGGTCCCTTCCAACTCTGTTAATCTATTTAATTCCTCTTGCAGTTGTTCCTATTGAGCCAAGTGCCACCTCTTCTATACCTGTGCATTTGGGTTTTTCTTTCCTAAGTATAGAACATTTTCCCCTTTGTGTGAAAGGGGTGGAGTGAGGAGCGTTTTTGAGCTTCCAGCATTGAGGTAGGAGAGCAAATTTTGTACCTGGTTTTAGCATGCTAAAATCTGTGGATTGTCATTCATTGCATCTTTCAAAGAATGAAGGAGTGGAAAAAAGGGGTGCGTGGAAGTGTCCTGCTAAATTAGCTTTAATTTGGATGACATGAATCGATGCATTATTCTATTAATGAAAGCTACTCATGTTGTTTAAAAAGATTCTGGAGAAGCAGTTGTAGAAAGTTAGCACCCACCCCTCTCCTAGAAGAATGAAATATTTTGAGAAATGTTAAAAAGGCAGAACATTATATTTCTCTGGATGAGAAATGAAGAAAACATGCTCTTGGAAAACAGCCCCACCTTCCTTAATAGCCCACAGCAGATGTCAGTACTTAAAAGGTAAAGAGATAGCTAGCTCTATTCATAAGCAAATACCCTCACCCAAGATCCAACAAAGGTAGGATTAGCCCTCAGCCACAATAGGAATAGCCCAAAGCCCCTTCCTTGCATCATCACAATTGCACCACTCCCAGCAGTCCAAACTTCAACCAAACCTAGCTCAGACAAACTCCTAGGATTTGTACATGGCCCCATGGGAGTCTGACAACAGCCAATAGAATACATGTTCTTGTACAGGAACAGGAAGCTCAAGTGCAAAGTCCAAGACAAGGTATAAATACCCCCCACTCTCAACTCCATGGGGTCAGCTGCACCAGAACTACAAACATGGACCCTTTTCCAATCAGCCTCCAGCCTCCATTTTGTCTCCATTGCCTTTCTCCCGGCTTGGAACTGAACCAGATGGATATTTCTTCCAACACAGCAACAACAAGTGAACTGGGAGTGTAGTTGGACGCACACAGTGCTGTGTTCCTGAGGTGCTCACACAGGTGGAAGCATTCGTATGAGACTCACCTTGGGCGGGGTCATCAGGATTAGTGAAATCACCCACCATGGATGAACCGGAGTGGAGAATGAAAGAGCTGAGAAGGTTATGCAGGAGAAAAACAGGGCGGAAGAGGCTATAATGAAAAAGCAGAGATCTGCGGATTAACGCAAAGAAGTAGGAGCAGGTGGAGATGCCTGGGAAGAAGAGCCAAAAGCATTCAAAACAAGATGAGCCATCAAGTGGAGGGGAGAAATAGATTACTGTTTTCCAGGTTGGATTTGGGAGATGCCCAGGAGGAGAAAAAGTAAACACAGGGGGAGTCCTTTGTGGGTTAATCATCTACTCTCAAATTACTAATGTCCAAAATGTATGTTGGCATCTAACACACATTTTGGCAGCTTGCAAATTCATTGTGCAAATTAGACAGTGAAAGAAATAGAATAGAATAACAGAGTTGGGAGGGACTTTGGAGGTCTTCTAGTCCAACCTCCTGCTTAGGCAGGAAACCCTGCACCACTTCAGACAAATGGTTATCCAACATCTTCTTAAAAGCTTCCAGTGTTGGAGCATTCGCAACCTCTGGAGGCAAGTTGTTCCACTGATTAATCGTTCTCACCATTAGTAAATTTCTCCTTAGTTCTAGGTTGCTTCTCTCCTTGATTAGTTTCCACCCATTGCTTCTTGTTCTGCCCTCTGGTGCTTTGGAGAAGAGCTTGACTCCCTCTTCTTTGTGGCAGCCCCTGAGATATTGGAACACTTCTATCATGTCTCCCCTGGTCCTTTTTTTATTAAACTAGACATACCCAAATGGAGCCCTGATTTTCTTTAGGAGTAATTCCACCTTTGCAGTGTGATTAGCCTACAACCAGATCCGTTGGTCACCAAAAGCATTCCTCTGCTTCCTTTAGAATCAGATGCTTAATTTGGATGTGATCTCGCAGTCAGATCACAGGTGGCCTTTTCCTTCCTTATTTCAATCTTGGAGCTATTCAGGAGTCCTAATGAAAACAGAATAACGGAATTGGAAGGGAGCTTGAAGGTCTTCTAATCCAGCGCCCTGCTCAAACAGGAAACCCTATACCATTTCAGACAAATGGTTGTCCAATCTGTTCTTATTCTCCAGGGTTGCAGTACCCACAACTTCTGGAAGCAAATATCCCTCTTTTAATAAAGTTGGGGTGAGCTGAGAAGGAGAACGGCCGTCAGAACGAAAGGAAAATTGGCTGGGGTCCTTCACCCCACAGTTCATCTCAGTTTCATGGATGCTTCCCATGAAAGTCTACATCAGGATGGCTGGCTGGCTGGCTGTGGAATTCTGGAAGTTGAAGTCCACAAGCCTTAAAGTTGCCAAGGCTGGACATTTCTGGTCTACATCAGTATATATCAGGGGTGAAATCCAACAGGTTCTGACAGGTTCTGGAGAACCGGTAGCAGAAATTTTGAGCAGTTCGGAGAACCGGCAAATACCACCTTTGGCTGGCCCCAGAGTGGGGTGGGTATGGAGATTTTGCAGTATCCTTCCCCTGCCACGCCCACCAAGCCACGCCCACCAAGCCACATTCACGCCCACCAAGCCACGTCCACAGAACCGGTAGTAAAAAAAATTGGATTTCACCACTGGTATATATTCACTCTTTTTAATTGGGGTTTTCTAATTTTGGACATCTGCCCTATACAGGTGCCTTGGCTCTGGAGTGCCACAGCTGTGTGGACTTGGGTGATGGCGGTTGCAGTCAGCAGCGGATGAAAAATTTGACCTGCCCAAGCAATGCCCACGTCTGTGTGGAAACCGTGGCTGCTGTGGAATGGAGTGAGTAGCCACAAAGGCTTTTTTCCAGCCCAAAGGGGGATGTGACACCACAGGGTTGAGTTTTCGATTCCTTCTTTAGTTCTGCAAGTGCAAAACTTTGATTTTTTTTGGTTTCTCTGAAGCTTTTCTTCCCTTGCCAGAGTTGAGTCAGCAGAATCACCCAATGGGGAGAATGGGTGACATATAAATTTAGTAAAAAACAAATACTGGTAGTCCTCGATTTATGACCACAATGGAACCCCAAATTTCTGTCACTAAGCAAGACAGTTGTTAAGTGGGTTTTGTCCCCATTTTACAACCTTTCTTGCCACTGTTAAGTGAATCACTGCAACTGTTAAGTTAGTAACATGGTTGTTAAGTGAATCTGGCTTCCCCATTGCTTTGCTGGTCAGAAGGTCACAAAAGGGAGATCACATGACCTCTGCAACCGTCATAAATATGAGTCCATTGCCAAGCATCCAAATTTTGGTCAGGCAACCATGGGGATGCTGCAACGGTCATAAATGTGAAAAATGGTCATTAGTAACTTTGAATAAACGAACTGTTGTAAATTGAAGACTACCTGTATTTTTGCTTTCATTTCGAAAATAGAGTAGTAGCCAAAATTGTGGAAACCTTTTGGGAAAAGTTTCTAAAACTAGCTAATAACACCACTTTTTTTTTTTAGTAGTATCATAAAATTATATATCCATGGAAAGATAATTTAATCAAGAATGTAATGCAGTAACTTTTATGAAGGATTTGCTATTAGAATAGCAGTTACAGTATAAGGAAGAAAAGGGAAACACGTAGAAAAAACGAGATATACAAAAATGATCACCATGTCAGTTAATACTTCGTTGGGTAATCTTTAGCACGAATTATGGCCTTACGATGTCTTCCCATGGAGTGAACCAAGTCTTTGAGTTCTGCAGCTGTTCTAATGTGAAACCAAGATGGAATGATGGCTTCTATTAACTGGGTTTTATTGCTGGGTCGCTTGTGACTAACAAGTTTCTTTAGTCAACTCCATCGATTTTCAATTGGGTGAAGGTCTAGGCTATTCCCAGGCCATTCCAGCAGTGGAATATGATTATCTTGAAACACCCCCCCCCAAAAAAGTGGTCTTATTAGCCATCAAACCTCAAAAATACACTTTTCCCAAAAGGTTCCCACAATTTTGGCCACTACTGTACCTTTCAGCATCACCAATAATTTGGTGATAGATACTGGAGACTCTTTGCAGCCTCCCTTCCATGCTAAATTTCCCAACCTGTACATTCATGGCTCTTCAGATGGCATTTCCTCCCGATGAATTAAAGTCCAATAAATTAACTTGGGTAGAATTGGATAGAAGGGTGGGAGGGCTACAAATTCTGGAGAGAAGGCCCCACATGTGGAGAGAAGAAGCGACATTCGCATACATTCCATGGTCAAGTTGTAACCAGACTCCCCCTTCCTTCCATGCTTTTTGTGGCTGGCTGGGGAATTCTGGGAGTTGAAGTCCATAAGGTCTTAAAGTCTACAAGGTCGCCATCTTTGGAGAGCCCTGTTCTAAGCCATCTTATCTTCCTCTGTAACCTCTTGGTTCTTTCAGGTCACGGGAAGTTCTCCGTTGGCGAAAAGGGTTGCGGGCTGGGCATGCCAGGAACCAATGACAAGGCGGTGGAAGTGCACGGCATCCTGGCCTTCTCTCAGCTCCACCAGTGCAACACGAGCCAATGCAACGTTAAACTGGACATCAAAGCACTCCAGCTGCACCCCATGGGTAAACCCCAGCCCACATAATTTCAATTTTCAATTTAATTCAATTTATATGCCGCCCCTCTCCGAAGACTCAGGGCGATAAGAACGATGCTTCTCTTTAGGAGATTGTTAGTCTTAGCCATCTACTGCTATGTCCCTGTGGAATATTGGAATATTTTCCCAGCATCCTTAATAAACTGGGACTTTCCGAATATGAAGGATCCTTAGCTTGTAAATTAAATAAATTGTAAATAAAATAAATTCCTTAGGCATGAAAGCCGGCTGGGTGACTTTGGGCCGGTCTATCTCAGCTCAACTCTGTGAGCTGTTGTGGGAAAATAGAAGGCAGGAGTCTTAGGCATGTTCATTGCCTTAAGTTATATATATAAGGCAGGGGTGAAATCCAGCAGGTTCTGACAGGTTCTGGAGAACCGGTAGCGGAAATTTTGAGCAGTTTGGAGAACCGGCAGTGGAAATTTTGAGTAGTTCAGAGAACCGGCAAATACCACCTCTGGCTGGCCCCAGAGTGGGGTGGGAATGGAGATTTTGCAATATCCTTCCCCCAGTAGTGTGGAGGGAATGGGGATTTTGCAGTATCCTTCCCCTGGAGTGGGGTGGGAATGGGGATTTTGCAGTATCCTTCCTCTGCCATGCCCACCAAGCCACACCCATGATGCCACATCATGCCCAACAAGCTACGCCCACAGAACCGGTAGTAAAAAAAAATTGGATTTCACCACTGATATAAGGGTAGAATAAAAATATGATAATGATAATAACAACAACGACGCAGCAATAATAGCAATAACAGGAAGAACTGTGAGGAAAAAATACAGGAAGGAAAAGAATAGCAAGATAAAGATAAGTGTTTCTCGACCTTGGCAACTTTAAGATGTGCGGACTTCAACTCCCAGAATTCCCCAGGCTGGAGAATTCTGGGAGTTGAAGTCCACACATCTTAAATTTGCCAAAAATTGAGAAACAGCGATCTAGATAGCCACAGAAAATTACATTGATGTGTTCCTATAGAAATGAGCTCACCTTCAGGGAATATTTGTCTTTTGTCATCCCGAGGCCCGCAAACAACGGTTGCAATGCTTTGTGTAAAACGTACAATAGCCACAAAAGCTAGTTTACCTAGAACGATGTCTCTTCACCCGTGCCTTTGTGTTCTTAGGCTAAGAGCTTTTTTTTTGCATAATGTGCAAATATGCTTTTAATGGTTTTGTTTTCTTTAGCCTTCCCTTTTATATAAATCCCAACAGTATTCTTTCTGGGAAAGGAAAGGTCAGATGCAGCTGAATCAATAACTAACAGAGGCAGCCTGTTTCAATTTAGGACTGGTTTCAAAAGCCACTTTTGGCTAATCTTAGTTTAGTTTATTTATTTGTCAAGCATAGATAAGATAACAGGTAAAAGTATAAACATAATTTGAATACATGAAAAGAGTAAGTAAAAAAGGAATATTAGGATAGGGACGGTAGGTACGCTGGTGCACTTATGCACTCCCCTTACAGACCTCTTAGGAATGGGGTGAGGTCAACAGTTTAAGGTTAAAGTTTTGGGGGTTTGGGGAAGAAACTACAGAGTCAGGTAGTGCATTCCAGGCATTGACCTCTCTGTTGCTGAAGTCCTATTTTCTGCAATCGAGTTTGGAAGGGTTTACCTTGAGTTTGTATCTATTATTTGCTCGTGTATTGTTGTGGCTGAAGCTGAAGTAGTCATTGACAGGAAGGACATTGTGGCAGATAATTTTATGTACTATGCTTAGGTCAGACTGAAGTTGGCGTAGTTCTAAGTTGTCTAAGCCCAAAATCTTGGGCTTAATCTTGGCGCTAGTTTGGTTTAAGAAAAAATTATAAATACTTCTGGCCCAACCCAGTTCTAATGCTTCTTCTAGAATTCAACCAATTTAAAGTTCTTATCTTTTTCATCCTTGATAATGCTATTTTTTTTTCCTTTTTTTAAAACGGCTCTACCTCCAGATAACGTAAGTGCTCGGATTCCCAACGGAGTGGAATGCTACAGCTGTGATGGAGACAACTGCACAATGGACAAGTCTGCCATTGTCAAGTGTTATGATAATTTCCGAGGTTGTTTCCATGGCAATGTCACAATGAAAGCAGGTGAGACTTCTGAAGGTCATTTTTTAAAAAAACGTGACTAATTTGGCTTTCTTGGGATTCCAGTGACCGTAGGGCCCTAAATATGTCGGATTTCTTCCTTTCCTAGGAAAGGAGGAGCAGGGGAGATGGATTAATGGAGCTAAGAGGATGAGTAAGGGATCAGTGTCCTCTGAGTGAAGGCCATCATAACCCAGCTGAAATAAAAATTATTTTCTAATTGTGTAGGAAATCATGTTCTCCGATATATAGTAAAAACGGAGAGGAAGCAGAGGTTAAATGAGGGTATTCAGTCTTGCTCGGAAAATGGCAAACTTTTAAGAACTACAATTATATTGAGTTTTTTTTTTTTTTTAAAACCCTTTCTACTTATTTATTTTTTTAAAAAAAACAACACACAGCATTTATATTTCTCTGCCAGATAGATTTCTTTCCCTTAAACTTTCTTGTTTTTTCTTTTTTTAAAAAAAAAGTTACAAAATTGCTGCAGCGCTGTTGGGAAGGGAGTGTATGATTTGACAAACTGTTCGCATTCTTGACTTTTTAACGGAGATTAAATGAATTGTTTGGTTAACCTTGACTCAAAAAAAAAAAATCCCTTTGTGCTGAACACAGAGAGAACTTTATTTGGAATGGAGCGGGGGGGGGGGGTGGAAATAACACTTCGGACCAAAACTGTTAGCCTTGAAGGAGGACATCTGCCTTAAAGTTGCTTCTTCTCATCTTTTCCAGGGAATTTTTCACTGACGAAACCCATCAAAGGATGCGTTCAAGATGGCGACTGTACCAAGGTCAGGAAAGGGAGTCCTGCCATCACCCTCTCAGGCTCCTGTTGTTCAGGGAATCTCTGCAATACTAATCTCTCCAACAAGACACACTTCTCCACCTCCATCCCAAGGCTGGCCTTCCTGCCGGCTGAAGAACCCAAGGAGAACGCAACTGCCACTACCCCTTCGACGTTGGTCCGGGTCAACGCAGCCACAGCGGTAGCTTCCACTTCCGGCAAGCTCACCCGTTCTCTTGCTGTGAGCCCATCGGTGGGCGGCCCTCAGAAGGACCACAGTCATGAGCACGACCACGACCATGACCATGACCATGACCACGACCACGACCACGACCACAGTCACGAAGAGGATGAAAAGAACAATGTCGTTCAAAATAGGAAAGTGGTCCCTTCTGTGAAGGTTGAAGAAAGACAAGTTGGTGGGCCGAAGGGAGGCGTAGCAGGCTTGCAGGGGTCAGTCCTGGTGACTTTTCTGCTCCTTGGCTTGTGTCTGTGAAGGTGACTCAAAGGAGTGAAATGACATTCAACCTCCTTCCTCCTCCTTTTTTTTTTCTTCTTTGCTAGATCGAAGCTTATCACGTACAGCTTTGCCTCATTTGGTACGATCGCTCCCGCTCTGAGCAGGAGGTTGGACTAGAAGGCCTCCAAAGTCCCTTCCAACTCTGTTATTCTATTGTGTTAATTCTGTTTTGTCTGCCTGTACTAGGCCTCTTCTCAAGAAGCCGGCATTTTGGATGTAATGTCCGATTGATGACGTTTGAGTATCGGAAATAAATTTTCCTTTGGTGCGCTTCAGTGGTGGGTTCCTCCCGGTTCGGCCCGGTTCCGCTGAGCCGGTAGCGGTGACGATATGACATCACCAAACCGGTTCTGCCCCCCCGCCCCCTGCCCCCCCGTCCCCTCCTGCATTATTCTTACCTTTTATTTGGCCCCACCCCCAATCTATTGCTGCCTCCTGAGTCCCAGCTGATCGGCTAGAAGGAAAAAAACTGTTTAAACTCTTGCCGCGGAGCTTCAAAGGGCCGCCCTACAGCTGATCAGTGTTAAAAGGCAGTGTGGTGGTAGACCGGTGCCTGCAAAAATGAATGGGTAGACCAGTGCCTCCAAAAACAAATGAGTAGACCGGTACAGCTCTGCAAGCAGTTAAAAGCCTGGTAGACCAGTACCTCTGCTAAATCCTAAAGAATTGTCACATGACCATCAAGCCACGCCCACAAAATAAACCACGCTCACAGAACCGGTAGTAAAAAAAATTAGAACCCACCCCTGGTGCGCTGCTCTATAACACGTACTCCTTGACTTACAACCATTCGCTTAGTGACCGTTCAACGTTACAGTCGCACCGAAACCAGTGACCTTCAAACCGTCCCTTGCACTTATGACCGTCACAGCATCCAAAAAAATCATGTGGTCAAAATTCAGACGCTTGGCAACAGGCAAATATTTACAATAGTTGCGGCATTGCAGTGTGACGGGATCGCCATTTGTGACCGTCCCAGATGGCTTCTGACAAGCAAAGTCAAGGAGAGAAGCCAGATTTGCTTAATGACTACATGGCTCACTTAACAACTGCTGTGATTCACTTAACAACCATGGCAAAAAAAAGGTTGTAAAATTGGGCATATGGCACTTAACAAGCGCCTTAGTAGTAAAAAAAAATCTGGTCTCCATTGTGCTCTTAGGTCCAGAACTACCTGTACTTTATTTTCATGGTAGTCATTAGAAATTAAGACTCACTGCTCTGGTATATGATTCATCTCATGTTTATGGGTAGCAAAACCTGGTTTCAGTCTTCCAAAACAAAGTCAATTCCTTTTGCATGGGGGCCTTTTCCTGCCCTCCTCTTCCAATATTATTTTGTGCCGATCAGACTTCCAGAGTTTTGGCAGTTCACATAAATTTTGACTTGACAGAGGTCAGAAGGAAGGCGCATGCAGCTGAAGTTAAGCTGTAACTTAATGACGTAAAACCGACCAACTGAAAGAAATCAGCTTTTTGCGTGGGCCCTAATGATTTAACCCTGTCAAAGTGTTCTGGAAATCATGAATGCCAAAATGTGGTCTGAGATCCAGGAGGTGGTAGACAGGTTTTGGTTGAGAGCTTACACCAGGAAGAGTGTAGAGTTAAGTGGATTGTTGCCACTTTGAAATTTGAATTTTAATCCTGAAATGCTGGAGCAGAGCTATGAAAGTATAAAATCAACACATGTAGCTCTTTACTTTTTCAAGGGGATCTATCCCAGGGAAGAAATCCAGCAGGTCCTGACAGGTTCTGGAGAACCGGTAATGGAAATTTTGAGTAGTTTGGAGAACCGGCAAATACCGCCTCTGGCTGGTCCCAGAGTGGAGTGGGAATGGAGATTTTGCAGTATCCTTCCCCTGGAGTGGGGTGGAAATGGAGATTTTGTAGCATCCTTCCCCAGCCACGCCCACCAAGCCACACCACGCCCACCAAGCCACATCCACAGAACCAGTAGTAAAAATATTTGGATTTCACCACTGATCTATCCCAACTTCAGTGAATGAATAAAATGAATCAAACTGTAACCCTCACCAGACAGATCATGTAAAATAGGAAATAAAACCTTTAGACGGCAATTTTGCATTTTAAGTACTTTCCATAATTTGCACACATGATGAAATGTTTATTTTTTTAACATTTGAGGGGAGATGGATTTCGGGGGTTTTGCCTTCTCATGCTCAATTGAGCCTGGAACCAACCAGCAAACATCTGCTCCGTAAACTGATATCAAAGCCAATAGAATGCCAAATCAAGGGATAAGACAAAGATTGAAGTTTTGACTAAATTCATACAACGCTCTAGACCAGGGATGTCAAACTCTCTGTGGTGGCACCTACCCTTTGGAACAATCTACCCCCAGACATACGAGTGATCTCCGACCTCCGGACTTTTCGTCGGGCCCTAAAAACTTATTTTTTTCAGTTAGCCGGTCTCTCTTGATTTTATGGTTGGTTTTAAAATTTGATACGGATTTTAAATTGATAAATTTTAAACTACGGGCCAAATTTATCTAATTATTTTAAATCTATTTTTAACTGTAACTTTATGTATAAATGTTTTTATTTTGGCTGTTCACCGCCCTGAGTCCGAAAGGAGAAGGGCGGTATAGAAGTTTGAATAATAAATAAATAAATAAATAAATGTCAGGGGCGCCTGTGGCAACCCAAGTGCTCTGCCAGTGAAAACAGGCTCCCAAGCTCTGTATCCAGGTATGACGGCCTCGTTCAACCCTCTGCCAGCGCAAACGGAGCTTAGGAGGGCTGCATGCGGCCCTCCCGAGCTCCGTTTGCGCTGGCAGAGAGTTGCACAAGACCGTCGCAGCCGGAAATGGAGCTCAGGAGCCCGTTTTCATTGGCAGAAACACCGTAGGCCGGTCCTTCACTGTTTCCAGAGTGGCCCCGTGGGCCAAATCTAAGCACTTTGCAGATCGGATGCGGCCTGCAGGTCTTGAGTCTCACACCCCTGCTCTAGACTAAACTAAAACGAGGGTTGTTTGTGAGTCAGCTTATTGCGTATTTCCAGCCATTATCTTAGCATGTCACAATGAACCAGGTCATCGGATTAGGGCACAATACGATTTATTCATTTGGCTCTAGCATGTTATGTGAACATAGAAATTGTATTTAGTTCACTTGGGTGAAGGGTGCGTTGTAGGAACCCAGCTCCTGAATCTCGGCAGAAATCCCACCCACCCTCCCACCTACCCTTGTTGCTCTCAAGCAGGAACAAATCAAATCCCCAAAGTTTAAACACATCTGGTGCTGTTATTCTTCATTCAGTTTATTTTGTTCCTGTTTGTAAATAGCTTTAATTGTGACTCTTGCCAAAGTAATAAATGTCAAGGAAAACTGGACTCGGAAATATATTAACAAATAAAGAGATTGGAACTTGGCTGGTCAAAGTGCCTTGCTTAGGAGATTTGCAGGGTGTGTGTGTCTCTCTCTGTGTGTGTGTGTGTGTGTGTGTGTGTGTGTGGTTTCTTATTGCTCTTCACTCTTGTTATTTGCCATTTTCATGCTATGAGGCTGTTGGAAGAAACGTCCATCTGGGTTCAGTTCCAAGTGGGGAGAAAGACACTGGAAACATGGAGGCTGATTGGAAAGATGGTTTAATGGTGAAGCAGAACCACCAAGCACGTGTGATTCTGGGTAGCTGACCACATGAAGTTGAGGGAGAGAGAGGTATTTATGCACCTTCTCTTGGGCCTTGCCCTTGAGCTTCCTGTTCCTGTGCAAGAAATATATTCTATTGGTTGTCAGACTCCCATGGGGCTATGTAGGGATCATAGCAGAGGTGGGTTTCAGCAGGTTCTGACCACTTCTGGAGAACTGGTAGTGGAAATTTTGTGTAGTTCTGAGAACCAGTAGTAAAAATTCTGACTGGCCCCGCCTCCATCTATTCTCTGCCTCCCGAGTCCCAGTTGATTGGGAGGAAATGGGGATTTTGCAGTAACCTTCCCCTGGAGTGGGGTGGGAATGCAGATTTTAAATATCCTGCCATGCCCACCAAGCCATGCCACGCCCACCAAGCAACACCCACAGAACCGGTAGTAAAAAATTTTGAAACCCACCACTGGATCATAGCTGACTTTTTAGGTTGTCTGAATTAAGTTTGACTGAAACCTGGACTCTCTGAGAGGATGTAGTGAGAAGGTCTGTGTCCTTAAAGGGTGTTGGGCCATTCCTATTGTGTCTTAATGGCTTTCCTGGTTTGGATCTTGAGTGAGGGCTGATCCTATCATTCTACCGAATTCTGCCTTTGTTCCAAATATCCTGACTTGAATGAATTAGAAATCTGCATTTCTAAAAGCTGGTCTCAACTTAGTATCTGCTTGGGGGCAGGAAACTGTGGCTCTGAGTTTCTGTTTCCTTTCAGATTTCTATTTCTCGTTTAGAGGAAATATAATATTCTGCCTTTTTAAATATTTCTCAATTTGAAATCTCCTAGAAATTTCATTCTTCTAGGAGAGGGGTGAGTGCTAACTTTATACAAGACAAAATAAGGAGAGACCGTCGCAGCCGGAAATGGAGCTCAGGAGCCCGTTTTCATAATAAGGAGAGGACAAAATAAGGAGAGAATAACAGTAACAGAGTTGGAAGGGACCTTGGAGGTCATTTAGTCCAACCCCCTGATCACGCAGGAGATCTGTACTAGGGATTCGAACCGCCAAACTGACAACCTTTCTGAGAGGTCTTGTTCTTGCAGTACAAGAAAACAAGGAAGGAAGGAGGGTAAACCTGTGGTTGAAATATGTGAGGGTTGAAAGAAGAGATGGGGGTTCCTGTCCATCAGTGTCCTAGAAGGACCCCTATTGGAGATCAAAGGGAATGGGGTGCTACCTTCTAAAACCATCCATCTTTGATGAGCTGGGACAGTGTTTCTCAACCTTGGCCATTTGAAGAAGTGTGGACTTCAATTCTCAGAATTCCCCAGCTAGCATGACTGGCTGGGGAATTCTGGGGGTTGAAGTCCACACCTCTTCAAGTGGTCAAGGTTGAGAAACACTGAGCCAAAAGACAAAGACTTGGTAGCCTAAAGAAAGACATTTCTGGCTTTGCTAATTGTAGCATTACCAATTCTAAGACTGACCTACAAGTTTCTTTCAGGTTTAAATTCATCTTGTTCCTCCACAGTTAGGTGGTGGGAGGTCCTTCTGAAATATTGCTCAAAGAAAGAGAATGGTTCATAATTCTTCAAGGGATTTCTGGACGCTCTTAAAGAATTCGCAGAGCAACCCTTGAGTAGCAAGGGTGTGCACATGAAAAGCAATTGAGAGTAATTATGAAATAACACAGCCAACACAGAGATACACTGAGTTGTGTTTACTTTCAGGAAATAGTAATAAGGCACAGTCCAATAAACAGTCCAGGTCATTCATGTATAAAGCAGTAGATGGTTAAACAATAGTCCAGGGATAATCCAATAACAAAGTCTTCTTACCAGTCGTTGTAGTCATATACACTAATCAGTTCTTCTGTATTGGCAAACAGTAGCAAAACACAGCAAATAGCAAAGAGTCAGTAAAAGGAAGCAAAGAGAAACAAACCAGGTTTCTAGCTCCCTTTTAAGGACATTGGCTACAGAGCTAACCAATCAGGATACAGTATGATACAATACAGCAATACAGCAGTCTTAAAGCAATATTGATGGTTTATATATTGTCAGCCCAATAAATTAGATAAAATCATTTCCTAACAGACATGTCAGATTTTACCACATACAGAGTAGTTATTAAAGGTAAAAGTTCCCCTTGCACATCTGTGCTAGTCATTCCCGACTCTAGGAGACGGTGCTCATCTCTGTTTCAAAGCCGAAGAGCCAGCGTTGTCCGAAGACATCTCTGTGGTCATGTGGCCAGCATGACTCAACGCCAAAGAAGCACAGAACGATGTTACCTTCCCACCAAAGGTGGTCCCTATTTTTCTACTTGCATTTTTTACGTGCTTTCGAACTGCTAGGTTGGCAGAAGCTGGGACAAGGAATGGGCGCTCACCCCGTTACGCGGCACTAGGGATTCGAACAGCTGAACTGCCGACCTTTCGATCGACAAGCTCAGCATCTTAACCACTGAGCCACCGCGTCTCCACTGACTGAGCCACCGCGTCCCTACACAGAGTAGTTATTAGATGGCAAAAACAGCTTTCTTAAAGCTTGCTTTTGCTTAGCAAGCCAAGATTAGCAAATATAAATAAAAATCTGGTTCCAAATTTCCTAATGGACACCTCAACTATTGACTACTTTTGAAGGCCTGGCCTTGCTCCTATTTGGAGCCCAACTCAGTGAAATGATTAAACTGAGGGAAAAACAACAAGAGTTTTTTTTAGGAGGAACTATCTTTCAATAACTACAGATTTTCTTACATAAGACCATGCTTTGTCTGAGGTTGACCAAGACCTACAGTGGAGAAAAGGGAATTGGAGAAGAGGAAGGAAGGAAGGAAGAACGGAGGCGAGGGATAGAGGAGACAGACTACCCTTTTGCACAAAGGAAAAACTATGCAACCTTGTTAAGCCTGTTGTTTGTCTATAATATATAGGGCTGCTGTGTGGGGGAGGTTACTGTTAGTCATTCTCAGATTGTGCATGACTATCACATGCGATTCTCCAGTTGTGTGTCTTTCTTCTATCTTCCTTGCTTAGTTAAAGAACGTATCATAGTTATTTCCTTGAAAGAAAGAGTTAAAAATCTTCATTTTTTCCATCCACTTGACCTGCACCCAACAGAAAGAACTGGATTGGCTGCCCAGCAGTATAAAAATAAATAGTAAGATATATTGGGCATCAATTAGATCCAGTTAACCGTGTGGGTGGCTTGGTTTTCTCAGTGTCAAGGGAAGAAAGCTGAACTTTAAATGTTACATTTCCCCGGATGAGGAGATAATAAATTATCTAATAATTTTTTAGTAGAAATTTCCCTTAGTTTTCCTAAGGGAAAACTCTTTGACGACCAAAATTACTTAAGAACAAACTTTCTTAACTGATCTTCTCCAGACACAAAGACAAGTTCCTACTTTCATTAACATAAAAATCCTAAACAACATAGGGAATGGCTCTTTCTGAGATCTGTCTAGACCAGTATTTCTCCTACCTTGGCAGCTTGAAGATGTATGGACTTCAACTCCCAGAATTCCCCAGCCAGCAAGGCTGATATAGGAGAATTCTGGGAGTTGAAGTTCATATATCTTCAAGTCAAACACTGGCCTAGACTAGTGTGTTCCTCAATCTGGACAACTTTAAGATGTGTGGACTTCAACTCCCAGAATTCTCCTATATCAGCCTTACTGGCTGGGGGATTCTGGGAGTTGAAGTCCACACATCTTAAAGTTGCAAGTCTGTGGTCTAGACCAGAGGTCTTCAAACTTGGCAGCTTTAAGACTTGTGGACTTTAACTCCCAGAATTCTCCAGCCAGCGTAGCTCTAAATAGAAGCAATACACTTTACTCTTAGGGCTTGAAGAGGGACACTGTCACTTATCAGAGCTATTTTCAAGAAACAAAGCAGCAACTACATTTTATTTCATTTGGACAATTTGTAGAATAAATGTTTGCTTTTCTGCATTCTACTTCTTTTTGGTCAACAAGCTGTACCAAGTAACTGTCAGGGTTCCAAGTAATAAAGCCATTGCATTGGTGGAAAAATTTATAGAATGTCGAATATGAGCATTTACAGTTAATTAAGACTCTCGAAACCATGCCCCACTCTTCTTTGTAAGATTGTGTTGGCCTTCTTAGTTTTTACTTTTCAAGATAGCTTACCCATGGTAATCAAATAAAATCTGTCCAAGAATGGTTTCTCTATGGATACAATAAATGTACTCTGAGAAAATTTAGGAGCCCTGGAAAGGAAGGAAGGAAGGAAGGAAGGGAGGGAGGGAGGGAGGGAGGGAGGGAGGGAGAAGAGGAAGAGGAAGAGGAAGAGGAAAAGGAAAAGGAAGAAGAAGAGGAAAGGAAAGAAGGAAGGAAGGAAGGGGAAGGGGAAGGGGAAAGGAAAGAAGGGGAAGGGGAAAGGAAAGAAGGAAGGAAGGGAAAAGGAAAGGAAAGGAGGAAGGGGAAAGGAAAGGGAAGGAAAGGAAAGGAAAGAAAGGAAAGGAAAGGAAAGGAAAGGAAAGGAAAGGAAAGGAAAGGAAAGGGAGTTTCTTGCATGGAATGATGCTGAGGTGGGATCTGGGTGATTGGAAAGCTAAAGGAGGGGCTGATATACAGGTAGTCCTCCTCTTACAACTTTTCACTTAATGGCAGTTCAAAGTTACGGTAGCCCTTGAAAAAAGTGACTTACAACCCATCCTTGAAGTTACAACTATCACACCCTCCCACGGTCACACAATCACAATTCAGGCGCTTGGCAATCGAAGATGGAGTCAAGATGTAGAGAGACAGGTCTAAATTCATGTTTGTGGCTGAGGGTGAGCTCGAACCAGGAATATCTTGGACCTAAAGCACCTCCCTTCCACCCAAACAGCCAAATAAATTGAGGCACTCCTGTACGTGCGAACCCCACCAATGAGTTGCTTTAGGAGAGATCGGACAAACTTGTTCACCCAACCCTTGAATCTCCAGCAACAAGACGCAACTCGTTTACAGGTGGCTGAAGAGCAGGCCTGAGAAGCATCCGTCATTCGTAATTCCAAGCCACATCAGCAGATTGCGAGGACTTCTCAGCTGGTTCTTTTTCAGAGGAGGTGACAGAGTCCAAAGACTCAACAAGTCTTGAAACGTTTGGACAGGTGAGGCCATCTCCAACCGTTCCTGAAGCTTCCAAGATAGGGCAACGGGTACTGTATGCTCTACATGGCTTGCCAGAGATTGGGAGTGACACACTTGTTATGGAAAGTGTAGCACGGAATATGTTAAAGGGCTGTCTTGAATCACGGGCATTCGGTAAATCATGTGGTTCCTCAGAAATAAATCAGCAGGAGCCCAACCAAGAGCAGAGCTTCCAGTTTTTGTGGTGGCTGCAGAGTGGCTTTTCACACCCTCCCGGCTTGATCTGCACACATGACGTATGTCGACTGAATTCAATTTAAGCCACCACAGGAGCAGCCCTCCCTTATCCAAAGACACTCCTCTCCAAGACTTCCACCCGACCACATTTCTCAACTCTTAGTTCCCCTTCTTCTAGGGGATTTATTTTAAGAGCATTCTTTGGTTCTGCGGAATGAGCAGTTTGTGATGATGCCCATCATTTTTCACAGCCTGGCATAGCCGCAATCGTTCCGGTTAGGACAGGAGGTGAATCTTCAACAGTGGAGAGATTCTGCATGATCGCATCTAGCAGGAAGAGATTTTCCTCAAGTTCCTCTTTTCGGTAGGAGTTAATCTTGGCCTTGGATGAGGTCCAAAATCACAACCAGGCGGAGAAACTAAGCGGCAGCCAAGAAATCCGCATATTTTTTTTATTTTTTATTTTTTGTAAAGGGAGCCCAGAGAAATACAGAAGACGTAATTCCTGCAGCCTAAAACAGGTAATTCCAGGGTCTGATCCAGACACCTTCACCTTCACACCACAGTTTCTGGGGGAACTGTGCAAATTCCAGAACAACAACAGTCTTGACTCTTGTCCTTGTCTACGCTGTTTCTGGATGTGTTAGACTGTCCAAACTTGGGATGGGTGTGTTTTGGTTTGCTCCGTCTTGAGAGATGGGTTCTGCTCGGTCACCTCTTGTCATGTTTCACTAGTTTTATAAGAATGAAGTTTGTAGTCTTGTGGTTTTGCATTACGAAGTACGTGATTGCGATAACCAGGAAAGTTTTATTCGGGTGTGATGTGCTGACTTGATTTTAGCAGCTGGACAGGATTGGAAAACAGCTTGATTAGAGCTAGGTGTACACACTTTCTAATATCGGCGCACTTGTGGGACAGCTAGAGGTTAGTGGCACCCGCCCCGTTGTGCAATGTACACAAAAATATTTCTCTTCACAAGGAGTTCAAGTGGTTTAACTGGAAGTGACTTTATCAGAGAACTAGGAATTCTGAAGTCAATTAAAGTATTATTTAACTTTCCCTACCTGACCCAAAGGTGTTTTTTTTCAGGAGGCAACTGGACTTCCTTCTTTTTTCTTTTGAAGACGTTTCGCTTCTCATCCAAGAAGCTTCTTCAGCTCTGGCAGGATAGCGGGGAGTGGAAGGATTTATATTCCTTGCAGAGAGCTGGTCATTTGCATCCTTTTAGAGGGTCCTTGAAGCACTTGGAAGTTGATCTGTGTCCTCAGGGTCACCTGAGTGGTTTTCCTGGGTCCTGTAGTCTGCATTTTTTTCCCTCTGGAAATCCATTCCTACTCCCACACCATTCAAAGGGTGCTCATCCCAAATTGTATAGCTAAAAGTCAGTCAAAGACTTGACCTGGATGACTGAGAAACTCTACAGACTTTTCCCTACCTGAGTTCACCTCCCACCCTTTAAAAAAAAAAAAAGAATGGAAGATCTTCAATAATTAAAAGTACTCAAGTATAGGAGCAGAGCCTGGTGCTATGGAGACATTGGTCTAATATTATGTCTAACATCTGATGTTGGCCTAACATCTGTCTGTTCCATTAGATCTGAGATGCAGGTCCTGTTTGTTAGGGAATTATATATCTGGGGGTCCTAGGAGGTGGTCCTATTCTGACATGGTGCCTGCCTTATGAGACATTCTCTTCCTTAAAGTGAGGTGAGCTCCATCCCTGTTAATATTCCAGGAGACCAAAATATTTGAATAAGATGATTTAGAGTTAGGGTTAGGTTTTAGAAAAAAGATTGACTTTAAATTAAAGGATTTCAATTTGAAAAAAGTAATGAGAAAGGGAGTGAGAAAGAAAAATTGACCAAGGTTAGAGATTAGGGCAAATGGTAATATTGGTTACATACCAGAAGAAACAGAAGGAAAATAAAACAAAAAATTAGAGAGAAAGAATATTATGGCAAAAAATTGTGTTGGAGAAAACTAAACGCTATAGAAAATTTGACTCGGCCAATACTCTATCAGAAAAAATGTATTGTTTGTGTGTGTGTGTGTTTGTTCTGAAAAAAAATAAAAAACTTTTCTTAAAAAAAAAATATTCCAGAAGACCTTCAAGGCCAGGCTAAATCTGAGGATCTCAGAGAACTGGTAAGATCTTGAGGTAGCTCCAGTACTGAAATTCACATTCTTCTCACTTGGGCTTTCTAGTTTTTAAATATTTTTTTAAATAATGAGTGTTTTGATATATTTATCGTTCTAATTTATTGTTGTACGGAGCTCCAGAAATGCTTTTTGTGAGATGGGCTGCCATATAAAAATGATAAATATTATAGAAATGTTTAGAAGCATCGGATGCTACAGCTGGGCATTCAATTCCATCCCTACAATGTAAGTCATCTGCTCCTCAAGAGTTCCTGATGACCATCCAATCTTTGATTTGAAATTTCTGACTTTGGGGAAGCTGCCACTTTCTGAAACCATCTACTCGCTCTGTCAGCAGTTTCATTCTTTGAACCCCTGGGAAATGCAGAAGTACCCTATATTTCTATAGGGTAGATATGAAGAAGGATTGCACCTCCGTTCTTCCTTCCTCCTTTTGACCATGTCTGGTGGTTCCCCTGAGCTTGGCGAAAGCTCCTTTGTCACTAGTTCATCCAGTTGTTGGATTAGAGATGCTGAAATTCTACCATCTAGTGATGAATTTGGGGAGCAGCACATGAGAGAAAACATGCATGGCCTGAGTTTTATATATATATATATATATAAGATGTTCTTCAGCCCTAGTTCTGTGAAATCTCATTCACAAGTTTCTGGGCTTTTTGTATCTTGCTGAAAAGCAACAACTCTGTGCTGCAGTTTGGGAGACTCAAATAGCTATTTCTGCCTTGTAAGGCATCATCACTGCAGCACAGAGTTGTTGCTTTTCAGCAAGAAACTTCGCGCCGAATAATAAGCAAGAAAATTTTTACCAAAAGTTACATAAGAAGATATTAGAAATGGAATATCAAAATATTTGTGTTGTAGGAGACTTTTATGCAATAGTAGACGCAAAACTATAGGAGTAGTAAGACAGGAAAATAGATTTGAAAAAAAGACACTTCCTAAACCATTGATTCTCCTTTTCCAGGTTTTGTTGACCGGAGAAGGACCACCTGGTTTCCTAATCTTCCCACTCCGTAAGATCCTGTTGCATCATGAACGTTAATTTCACCGCTCCGTGCATTTCCAATGCATCCTTGCCCTCATCCTCGGATACCAAGGTGGACGTGAGCAGGCTCATGGACATGCTTCAGATCTTCTTCTACGCAGTTCTTTTTCTGCTTGGTTCCCTGGGCAATGGAGCTGTGCTTTGGATCACAGCCCGTCAGACTACACGGACCATCAGCTGTGTCTGGTTCTTCAATCTAGCACTGGCCGACTTTCTCTTCTCGGTCACCCGGATTGTGCCCCTCTTGAAGAACGCTTTTGATAACGGGTGGCCCTTTGGAAGTTTCCTGTGCAAAGCCAACAGCTTCATCAAGTATCTCAACATGTTCGGCAGCGTCTTCCTCTTAGCTGCCATCAGCATTGACCGGGCAACTTGCGTAGCCTACCCAATATGGACCAAAAGGCACCGGGACAGCCGCTTGGCATGGGTCGCTGCCATCGGAGCTTGGTTGTTGGCCATTGGCACAAGTAGTCCTTTCTATCTCTACCGTGGCATAAAAATTGACAAGTCTAACAAGACCAAGTGCTCCTTTGCCCTGGAGGGAAATGAAACCGCCAAACTGGCCATCTATATGTTGAGACTGATTTGTGGGTTCTTGGCCCCTTTCGCCGTCATTGTGGTCTGCTACGGCATCATCGTTGTGGTGCTGAGGAGACGACGGGCTTCCCTCCGTTCCAAGAAGCCCTTCAGGGTCATCCTGGTTCTCGTGGTCACGTTCTTCCTCTGTTGGGCACCGTATCACATCTTCCTCCTCCTCAAATTGGCAGACGTGAAAGGCATAGGACTTTCTATTGGCCTCCCCCTCTCTTCCTTCCTGGCCTACCTCAACAGCTGTGTCAACCCTATCCTTTACTTTTTCATGGGCATGGACTTCCATCGAAAGCTGACTCTTTACAGCATAAGGGCTGCATTCAGGAGAACCTTGTTTGAAGACAGTGGCACCTCATTTAGGAGGAAGTCCAGGAAGGAGATGGCTTCTTCCACGGACGAGCTACCTCAATCTTCAGTAGTCCCTCAGATGCATTGCAGAACCTTAACACTTCCAAGTTCGGTTTAGGAAACTCATGTGGACTAGGAACTCATAGGTGACAGGTGAGGAACATAGAATCATAGGGTTGTAAGGGACCATGGAAGTCTTCTACTAGTCCAACCTCCTGCTCAAGGCAGGAGACCTTCTACCATCCCAGTCAAACGGTGGTCCAGTCTATTTCTGAAAACCTCCAGTGACCGAGTACCCACAACTTCTGGTCGTTCTGCTGGTTAATTGTTCTCATTATCAGAAAAATGTATCCTTACTTCTAGGTTGGACCTCTCTTTAACTGTTCTGTCCTAGGCTTCCCCAAACCACGAAGCAGACTCCTTGTCCCGACAAACCCCTTTTTATTAAGCTACTGTGAATTCCCCTCATTCACATCCAGCAAAGCCCCGGCAAACAGTCTTTCCAGGGTGAATTTACAAACACAGACCTTATCTGGCTTGGAGAGCTGCCAGGCCGATATCTTCAAAACACAGTGCTGTACAAGAAAGTACTTGGCAAGGGGTCTCGGAGAGTCACCAATTAAGGCAGTGATTCTCAACCTGTGGGTCGGGACCCCTTTGGGGGTCGAATGACCCTTTCACAGGGGTCGCCTAAGACCATCGGAAAACATATATTTTCAATAGCTTTAGGAATAATTTTATGGTTGGGGGTCACCACAACATGAGGAACTGTATTAAAGGGTCACGGCATTAGGAAGGTTGAGAACCACTGAATTAAGGGAACTAATTGTCTCCTGCAAACTCCACTCCCCTTTTGCTCCTCTTTTATTCCCTCTGGGAGGGGCCATTCACCAGCCACTTGTGCCTTTACTCCCAAGTTGGCCCTTGTTCCTTAACTATTCCGTTCTCCTGACAGCTCTATGCACACGCACATCAGGAACAGACTCCAACTGTTCTTCTGCCCCACTGATCTTCGACTCTGAAGGCAGCTGATAACTGTCGGGCGGCCCTGGCCCCATCTCTGCCTCTAATGCAGAGCCTTCATCAGAGCCTTCCTCAGACTCCAGGACCGGCCCATGTTCCTCCCCAACCTCCTCACTCTCTGTGTCTGCCACCAGCTCCGCTGGCGGGTCAGAACACAAGGAGAAAGATATGGAAATAAATCTACAGAAATCGTGAGCCTGCTTCAAATGGACTAAGAGTTTCAAGCTGGCTTCAGAATTGGGTGGAAACTCCTCAGTGTCTGTGTCTGCCACCTGTTCCGCTGGCCGCTGGCGGGCCACAACATTAACAAGCTCCCCCCCACACACACACATTGCTTCTTGTCCTGCCCTGTGGTGCTTTGGAGAATAAGAGGCTTTGTAGTGCAAAACATGAGGAAGACAGCAATCTGATGGAGGGTGATCCATCGCAGCCATTAACTAGAGAAATACAAGATTTCTTTTTCCGCTTTTATTCCATCCACCCGTCTGAACTGTTGATATTTTCTGGACGTTATAGAACTACAAATACCTCTGTGTGAAAAGGAGCTTTTACTTCCATCATGAACTGCAAACGATGGGTTGTTTTGCTTTATATTCCTCATGTATGTTATTTTTCCTTTGACGTTGATGTATACAGTATGTATAAACTTTTAGCTATATTTGTACATTTGTGTCTTTGGAAACTTATTCAAACGACTCTGCTAATTAGCAGCCCTGTCTGAAGTTTAAGCAATAGCCTTCATACTTTTGTATATTTATACAAAGTCAGCTTATTGCCCCCACAAACTGGGTCCTCAATTTACCTACCTTAGAAAGGATGGAAGGCTGAGTCAACCTTGAGCCTGGTGAGATTTGAACTTACAGTAATTGCAGACAGCTGGTGTTAATCACAATGCTATCAGTCTGCTGAGCTACCAGGAATTGAAGTCCACACGTCTTAAAATGGCCAAGAATCTGTTGAGAAACACAGATTCAGATTTTCCGCCTTGATTAAAGTGCTTGGAAATTGCTGAATATTGCAGTCAAAAACATCTGGAAGAGGCCACCAGCTTCAGAAAAACCTTTCCACTCTTATCATACTGCAATTATTGCTTTCTCTGTGTGTTCGCTTTTAGCTAAAGTGGATATTCTTGTGATGTCATTCTGTTTATTGATTCATGCTCTCGACTCCGCACTGGATAGCCTTTAAATAAACATATTTCCATTATTTATAGCAAGCCAACAAAAAAAATATATAATCACGTGGCCAAAAGGAGGATCCTCCCCCTCCATCTCTCTCTCTCTCTAGTTTACCAAAGCAGTGGAGTTTTATATCACCAAGGCTGACTTTCCTTTGCATGATCACAAAATGACATATATAAATTGGTAACCAGTTTTATCTTTGGAGCAACCTTGCAAAGAAGATGAAGGGGGAAAGGTAATAACTGCCATAGATCAACTCTTGATTTTCATGCAACTAAAATACAGGTAGTCCTCAATGTATGGCAATTTGTTTAATGACCATAAGAAGTTACAATGGCACTGAAAGGAAGTGCCCTGAAAATTATGCATTCTGTGTGGATGAAGATGATGGCTCCAACTGGTTCCACCACTGTCCTGTGGGAATACTGTCTCCTATCTGGTCATCGTGTCTTCTTCTCCCACCCCTTAGCCCTCCTTTGGCTGTGATCCCTATTTTTCTTTTTCTATTAATGAACAACAAAGCTGACACAGCAACTTGTCTATTTAAAGATGCTGAATAGCTTAGACTCTTGGCTTAGACTTGTATGAGAAACTATAAATAAAAGAGAATAGAAGCGCATTGCAAGAACTCAGCTCGTGAGCTTCCTCTATGAGTTGCTCTCTCCCTCTCTCCCTCCCTCCCTCTCTCACTTTCTCTTCCTCTCCCTGTTATTACTTTTTTTTAATTGTTCTTGCAAACCTTTTCTTCTCATGCCACTGATCTAAGAAGCAGAGTGGACCCACCAGCCCCTGGACTGGGCTGACTGGACCCGTACTGGTAGTCTTACTGCTATCCCTAAGCTCTTTTATTTTTCTCCATTTGAGGAATTGCATTCATCTTTGTTTTTTTGGGGGGGGTGTAGGAAGTTAGCACCCACCCCTCTCCTAGAAAAATGAACTATTCTAGGAAATATTAAAAAGGCAGGATATTATTCCTTCCTGGATGAGAAACAGAGAAACATGTTTTAAAGATAAAGCAGCTCCCTGCAGCTCCCTGACTATCACCCCCTCACACTTTTGTCAATGGGCAAGGCCTGAGCCAGTCTATTCTACGTAACAACGATCTACCTCCTTCAGGCAGAGCCATAATAGGAATTGCCCAAAGCCCTTTCATTACATTCATCACCCAGCAAGAGTCAACCAAACTTGGGACTCAGGACAACCTGCAGAGCATGGCCCCATGGGAGTCTGACAACCAATCAGAATACAAGCTCAAATTCAAAAGCCCAGAGAGGGTATAAAACTCAGGCACTCTCAGCATCTCTTCTCTTTTTCTGCTTCACCCAACATTATCAAGGCATGTGATCCTGTCCACCATTAAAAACAATCTTTCCAAACACTCACCATGTTTCCAGTGTCTTCCTTCCCACTTGGAACTGGACCCCAATGGACATTTCTTCCAACAGGGGTTTCAGGAACAAATGTCAGAGACGGAAGAATCAAGATCACACACTAAGTTCCAGTTAAGATGATTTATTTATTTTTTTTATTTTTTAATTTGATTTATATGCCGCCCTTCTCCGGAGACTCAGGGTGGCTTACATTGCTTTTAAGCAATAGCTTTCATCCTTTTGTATATTTATACAAAGTCAGCTTATTGCCCCCACAACTGGGTCCTCAATTTACCTACCTTAGAAAGGATGGAAGGCTGAGTCAACCTTGAGCCTGGCGAGATTTGAACCTGCAGTAATTGCAGGCAGCTGGTCTTAATAACAGGGTGTTTTAATCCACTCTACTACCAAGGCTCTTGGTATTGATCATGCCTACACAGGAGAATCTAGTCAACTAACGGTCATCGCTACATTGATGCTAGATAAGAGTCAACAGAATTCAAAAGGGGCTGGATTTAGATTGTTTGTGGGAACATTAAGGAGTCCAGACTGAATCCTCTCTTGACTCCTCCCCAGGCTCTACCACTTCTTGGGAGGACAGTGCAACCCACTATTTTCAGTGATGTTTTAGCTACTTCACAGCTGGGTCATCCCTTCCAATAGTCTGTTCAGGACAATCACCAATGGTCAGACATTTGCCATTGCCATTTCTCTGGGATGTATTGGACAACCACCAGCAGTTACAGAGGCCCAATGGTCAACAGCAAAATGGAGAAAAAAGAACCTCCGAGCCTGCAGCATAGAAATTGGTGGCTTTTCGGTAGAAACCAGCAGCTAGTCACGGATCTTGGAGTGTAACAAGATAAGACTAAGTAGCACATACCCTGTTTCCCCTAAAATAAGACATCCCCTGATAATAAGCCCAATTGAGCTTTTGAGCGCATGTGCTAAAATAAGCCCCCCCCCAAAATAAGCCCTCCCCGAAAATATTTAAATGCATGCACAGCCGGTTCCTGCCATTTCCTCTGGTTAAGGTTAGGGGGACAGAGCTGGAAATCAGGTAAAATGCTCCACGTGCCCCAAAATAATAAGACATCCCCAAAAATAAGGCCAAGCATTTATTTTGGGGTTCAAAAAAATATAAGGCAGGGTCTTATTTTCGGGGAAACATGGTAGCAGATCCATTCCGAAATCAGGGTTTCCCAACAGCAATGGGAGTAAAGGCAGAGTTACATCACTTTTTTAATGTTTAAATTTAAAAAAAAATTAAAGAAGAGATTGGACAGTGATTTGTCTGAAATGGTATAGGGTTTCCCCCTCTGCTCAGAGTGGGGGTTGGACTAGAAGACCTCCAAAGTCCCTCCCAACTCTGTTCTTCTGTTATTTTGTTAACTGTATGACTTCAGCCTTTCTCATGTGTATCCAACCAGTTCTTTTTGCTGCTAAACTCACTCCCACCCTTTGTGTAAAAAAACAACAACAGCCATACACCGGACATCATCGCCATGAAAGGAAAAGATGTGGAGATTCTAGAAGGAGTGCAGAGAAGAGCAATGAAGATGATTAGAGGACTGGAGGCTAAAACATATGAAGAACAGTTATAGGAACTGGGCATGTCTAGTCTAGTGAAAAGAAGGACTAGGGGAGACATGATAGCAGTCTTCCAATATCTCAGGGGCTGCCACAAAGAAGAGGGAGTCAAGCTATTCTCCAAAGCACCTGAAGGCAGGACAAGAAGCAACAGATGGAAAAAAGCCAACACAGTTCTGGGCTGCATAAATAGAGGGATAGAATCCAGATCACGTGAAGTGTTAATACCACTTTATAATGCCTTGGTAAGGCCACACTTGGACTACTGCATCCACTTTTGGTCGCCATGATGTAAAAAAGATGTGGAGACTCTAGAAAGAGTGCAGAGAAGAGCAACAAAGACGATTAGGGGACTGGAGGCTAAAACATATGAAGAACGGTTGCAGGAACTGGGTATGTCTAGTTTAATGAAAAGAAGGACTAGAGGTGACATGATAGCAGGATTCCAATATCTCAGGGGCTGCCCCAAAGAAGAGGGAGTCAAGTTATTCTCCAAAGCACCTGAGGGCAGGACAAGAAGCAACAGATGGAAACTCATCAAGGAGAGAAGCAACCTAGACAGTTAGAACAATTAATCAGTGGAACAACTCGCCTCCAGAAGTTGTGAATGCTCCAACACTGGAAGATTTTAAGAAGAGATTGGACAGCCATTTGTCTGAACTGGTGTAGGGTCTCCTGTCTAAGCAGGGGGTTGGACTAGAAGACCTCCAAGATCCCTTCCAACTCTGTTATTCTATTCTATTCTATTCTATTCTATTCTATTCTATTCTATTCTATTCTATTCTATTCTATTCTATTCTATTCTATTCTATTCTATTCTATTCTGTTAAAAACTTTCCTCTTCTTGATTTATATCCATCCTTCAGAGCTGGGAGGGCTGCCATAAGTTTAAAAGAAGTCCATAAAAATCAACTGGCATGATCTACATGCAATTAACATCCTCGGTGTCTGGACTCAGTGGGTCTGGAGGAATTGCTGTATTTTCAAAATATTTTTCCCGAGAAGCCCATTGGAAGTAATTCTTAGGAAGACTTTCCTGGTGACCACTAAACTTTCATGAACTTTCTTATCTGATTTGGTCCAGACACTTAGAAGCTGCTGGCATCTCTTTTATTATTGTTATTATTATTAATGGGAAGAGCTAAAACAACTTTGCTATTTTCAGACCTGACATCTGCCAAAAGATTTTGTGCACAGCCTTTTCTGACATTTGACTAAAGGGCCATTATTCCTGGGAACTGAAAAGGGGAAGTAGTGGCCTTCTGGATTGCCCCACAGGGGAAATGCAGGTTGAGATGGGGCAACCAAGAATCCTTTTTATACAAAACAGGCAGTAATCCTCAATTGTTTGAAATGGTGTAGGGTTTCCTGCTTGAATAGTGGGGTTGGACTAGAAGAGTGGTCACCAACCGGTGGTATGTGGACCACCGGTGGTCTGCGAGAAAATTTTGGTGGTCTGCAGAAAAATTATTTGCTTTTTTAAATATTGCATTACATCAGGCGTCCTCAAACTATGCCCCTGGGCCGGATACATGCAATGAACATTTGTGTTGCTGCAGAGAGTCTCCCCCTTCAGGGTCTTTTAGTGTGGGGCAGAGGGGGGCAAAAATTCCAACTTGGGATCTGCTTCGGCCTTCTGGTGCAGGGCTTTGGGCGAAGGCTGGAGAGAAGTACCGCTGGTGGCAAGGAGCCCGAGGGCCTTGTTCAAGTGGGACAGCAGATCACCTCTAGAATCTGAAGAACTTCCACACATGGATTTGGATCTACTGTATTTCCCCAAAAACACAGGTCTTATATTATTTTTTGCTCCAAAAGGCCCATTAGGGCTTATTTTCTGGTTAGGTCTTATTTTTAGGGAAATACGGTACTAAATGCACCCATCTGGCTGATAATCTTAACTGGGTCTTATTTTGGGAGTACGGTTTATATTACGAGCATCCTGAAAAATCATGCTAGGACTTATTTTCTGGTTGGGTCTTATTGGGCCTTGGTGGAGCAGCAGACTAAAGTACTGTTAAGTAACACCAGCTGCCTGCAATTACTGCAAGTTCAAATCTCACCAGGCTCAAGGTTGACTCAGCCTTCCATCCTTTCGAGGTAGGTAAAATGAGGACCCGGATTGTGGGGGCAATAAGCTGACTTTGTATAAAAAAGAACACCGCTTTTGGGGGGGGCAAAAAGCCCCACTAAGCAGGTATATACAAAAGTATGAAAGCTTATTGCTTAATGCATTGTAAGCCGCCCTGAGTCTCCGGAGAAGGGTGGCATATAAATCGAACCTAAATAAATAAATAAATAAATAAATAAATAAATAAATAAATAAATAAATAAATTTTTGGGGAAACAGGGTAGTCTGAAAGCAACTTGAGACTTCTGTAATTTCATGGCGTTGGCTGCAGTGAACAAGTTAATTTATTTCTGGCTTGGTTGCACATCACTGAAACCGCAGCAAAGCTACTTTTCTCTTTAAGCGTGTTGTGCTGGCTCTGAGGAATTTCTGACCAGTCCAGCTTCTGTATTTGCAGGAGGTTTACCTCTTCTTTGGCTCTGGCCAGTGGGTTTTTTTGGGGGGAGCTGCAGAGGGGGGGAGCTGCAGAATGGGTGTGTTTCTGTGTGGGTGCAGATTTATTTTTTTTCTACTTCTCTTTCATTCCTAACTGAGCATAAAGAACTCAGTTTAACACTAAAAGGAGAAAATCTGAGTTCAGCTTCAACACCCACCCAAAATCCACTCAATCCAGATTCGGTCCTGCTAATGGACGTGACTCCTTTTCACAAAACGACATAAATGGATGCATTCGACATTTGGCTTTGAAGAATACCCCTTGCCCCAAGTCGCCAATGATACCGGTAGTCCTTGGCTTACAACAGTTCATTCAGGGACCGTTCGAAGTTACGACGACCGCTGGAAAAAGTTGACGTGACCGTTTTTCCACACTTAACGACCGTTGCAACTTCCCCACAGTCGTGGGATCACAATGCAGACGCTCGGCAATGGATTCCTACTTATGACGGCTGCAGTGTCCTGTGGACATCTTTTGCTGCCTTCTGTCGCAATGATTCATGAAACAGCATTGGCAAGAAAGGGGTTTTTTTATAAAACAAGTTTTTATTGGTTTTTTATCGTTTTTGAACCGAGTATTGGCCATATCATCTTATACAATTTATCAAATTCAAATACATTTTACTCAATTACAATTTTTGCCACAGTTTTCTTTTTTTCCCTTTTTTTAAATCATATCTCAATATTTCTTTGCTTACTTATATAAACAGCATCTTCATTTGCTCTCAAATTCTAACTTTCCTGCTTATTCATATTTATTCTCTTTTATTTTTTAACCATTCATTCTTTATCTTAATATATTTATATATGTTCGGGGTTGCCTTTCTTCCAATTCATCTTTTTTGTTATACAGCAATCTTTCTTCTCAATCCTGCCATCTCCCTCTCTTCTTTCCTTCTTACTTTCTTTTTCCCTCCTCTCCTGCTCCTCTCTACTTCCCCTTCCTTTCTCCTTCTCCTCCTTTCTTCTTCCCTGTCTAGCCCTCTCTCCTACTCTGGTTTCCCCTCTCTTCCTTCCTCCCCTCTCTTCCATCCCTCTCTCTTCTCCCCTTCTCTTCCATCTCTCTACTCTCTACTCCTCTTTCATCTCTCTCTATTGCTGTATTCATTTTCAATTTAATATTTTCCACTATGGTGTCCAGGCAAACCCCATTTTTGGCAAGAAAGGTTGTAACATGGGGGGAAATTCACTTCACCACTGTCTCACTTAGCACCAGAAATGTTGGGCTCAATTATGGTTGTAGGTTAAGGACTACCTGTATAAGGTTTTACCGTCTTGTGTGAATCCAGTTGCTTCATCTTACTTGAGAAAGGTAATTTAACAGATTTAACAGATTAACAGAGTTGGAAGGGATCTTGCAGGTCATCAAGTCCAACCCCCTGCCCAAGCAGGACATCTACATCTGCCTCTACCTAGGATCACCCAACACAATGTCACTTATGAAATCTCCTGTTGGTTTAGACAGCTGGCCAGGTGGCTGCAACACAATCCCCACAGACAACGTGCTGTGGTGTTTGCTAAGTCAAGTCGCTCTTTGGAAATATAGCACAAGAAGTCAAGCAAAGATCCTGAAGGTTAGCAGATTTTTGTGGCTTTTGCGGAACGTCTGTGACTTCTCAGGAAAAATTAAAAAAAAAACCCAACCACGTGGACTGTCCTTTATTTATGTTCCGTATAAACCAACTTTGTTGGTTCAAGGGAGAGCAGCACAGCTGTTAGCAGAGGAGACCAGCCGCAGCTGAATAATCCTAGTTTCCTGTAAAAAGAAGTTCAACAAAAGAGAAGAGACGTGATTCCTATAGCTTCAAACAGGTAATTCTGGAGTCTTGACCCAGGATGTCCCATCTTCTTGTGATTGGGGTTGGGTTTATTGTAACACCAAAATAGCCCTGTCATGTCTGGATATTCGTTTCTGGATACTTTAGACCAGTGGTGAAATCCAAATTTTTTTACTGCCGGTTCTGTGGGCATGACCTGGTGGGCATGGTGTGGCTTGATGGGTGTGGCTTGGTGGGCATGGCAGGGGAAGGATACTGCAAAATCTCCATTCCCACTCCCCTCCAGGGGAAGGGTTTTGCAAAATCTCCATTCCCACCCCACTCTGGGGCCAGCCAGAGATGGTATTTGCCGGTTCTCCGAACTGCTCAAAGTTTCCGCTGCCGGTTCTCCAGAACCTGTCAGAACCTGCTGGATTTCACCCCTGCTAAGTATGAGAAACGATCTTCCATTTAAAACTGGTTCAGTTCAGAAAGAAATTGAGATATTTCTAAATGCATTAAAGGAAATAGATTGGTTTGTTTCCAAGTAAATACAACACGGGTTGGTTAAAGTTCACTTATCCTAGAAGGGGTAGAAATGTGTTGGAATTCCACCCTCTAATGATGGACCATGGGAACTGAAATCCAGCCAATCTGGGAACATCACATCAGGAAATCTTGGAGAAAACAGGATGCATTTTCTTTATATTACAGATAGTCCTCGATTTATGACCACAATGGAGTCCAACATTTCTGTTTCTAAGTGAAACACTTGTTATGTGAATGATGTCCCATTTTACGTCCTTTCTTGCCATGGTTGTTAAGTGAATCACTCCAGTTGTTAAGTTTGTGACATGGTTGTTAAGTGAATCTGGCTTCCCCATTGACTTTGCTTGTCAGAAGGTCGCAAAAGGGGATGACATGACCCCCGGGACACTGCAACCGTCATAAATATGAATCAGTTGCCAAGCATTCAAATTTTGATTACATCACCGGAGGGCAGGGATGGGCAATTGTGGCTCTTTGACAACCTGTGGACTTCAACTCCCAGAATTCCTGAGACAGCTGTCTCAGCTAGAGAATTTAGAAAATTTAGGAACAAATCCAGGGCTGTAAAGATAAACATATTCAATTGCCCAGACTAATATTTTTTTAGCATCTTTTAGCAATGTTGGCAAAGAAAAGGTATTGGATTACAGAAGTTTGCCTACTAAATACAATTACTTTAGCACTCTTAAAATGTTACGTACTCTTCCAGGTTCTGGAGATTTCCAGAGTAGGTCGATTAAATAACATGAATTCTCTTGAGTTCAGAAAAGAGCTGCGGTGGCTCAGTGGTTAGAGTGCAGTACTGCAGCTACTTCTGCTGACTGCCGGCTGCCTGCAATTTGGCAGTTCGACTCTCACCCAGCTCAAGGTTGACTCAGCCTTCCATCCTCCTGAGGTGGATTAAACGAGGGCCCAGATTGTTGGGGGCAATATGTAAACCGCTTAGAGAGGGCTGTAAAGCACTGTGAAGCGGTACATAAGTCTGAGTGCTATTCTCCCTTTTGTTATTCTCTCTTTTTTCAGATTTTTTCATTTAATTTTTTTAGGTCGCCTTCTCTGCAACATCCCATTTGCATCATGAATGCTAGCTCCACTGCCTTGTGGCTTCCCAATGCATCCTTGCCATCACCCTTGGAAACCATCTCTGATTTAAATAGATACAGAGATGTTCTTAAAATCATCTTCTACACGGTTATTTTTCTCTTTGGTTCCTTCGGCAATGGAATTGTGATCTGGATCACTGGCCGCCAAGTCTCACGGACCATCAGCTGCGTTTGGTTCTTCAACCTAGCTCTGGCTGACTTCCTCTTCTCCGTGAGTCGTATAGCACCTCTTGTAGCAGTGAAGGAAGGTTGGGCCTTTGGGAGCTTTGCGTGCAAAGCCAACGGCTTCATCAAGTACCTCAACATGTTCTGCAGCGAGTTTCTCTTAGCCTCAATCAGCATGGACCGGGCTGCTTGTATCGCCTACCCGTTATGGGCCAGAAAACACCGGAACATCTGCTTGGTATGGCTTGCAGCTGTCGGAGCTTGGCTCATGGCCATCATCACAAGTATCCCTTTCTTCCTTTACCGTAAGGTGGACACCAAGAACAACCGAATCAAATGTTTGGTGATGCTAAAAGAAGAAGAACCAGGAATACGAGTGACCATCTACATGTTGAGGCTGATATGTGGGTTCTTGGCTCCCTTCACCATCATTGTGGTCTGTTACGGCATCATCATCGTGGTCCTGAGGAGACGTCAGACCTCCCTCCACTCAAAGAAGTCCTTCAAAGTCATCTTGGCCCTGGTAGTCACTTTCTTTGTCTGTTGGTTGCCCTATCACATCACCCAGCTCCTTAAACTGCTAGGAGCGAATGGCCCAACCTTCTCGTTTATTACTCTTGTTGCGGCCTTCCTGGCCTACCTCAACAGTTGTGCAAATCCATTCCTTTACTTCTTCATGAGCGTGGACTTCCACAAAAAGTTGACCCTCTGTAATATCATCAGGGCACTCAAGGGAACCTTACTGGAAGAAAACAGCACCCTAATTAGAAAATCCACCAGTAGCCATAAAGGTTCATTTTCTATGAGTGAGCAGGCAATATCCACAGAAATCTCTCAGTTGCCCTGTGGAAACTCAACCCTTCCAACGTGAAGTATCCCAGGACCAGTGAAATTTGAATTTGTGAGCTTCAGTTTTGTTTCTTTTCAGAGACCTGAGCCACAATTTTGAATGTGTTGAAGTTTTAAATGTTTGTGGGTGGAAAGGGCTGACAGAAAGCAACCTGTTCCCCTCATAACGAGCTATGAAATTGCTTTAATTGTTTTGCATTAGTTATATAGAGTATAGGAATTCTGGGCATCCATGTCACTCATATCTGAAGGTTGTTTTCTTTCAGACTCTTATTCATCAGGAACCTTATCATGGTCTATCTCCAATTTTAGCCAAATCACAAGCCATCATGGAACTTTGTTAAAATGATAGTTAAGAGACCCTCTGGATCTGCTTTTCTTGTTTTGAATAGAGCAGGGGTGCCAAATCTTGTCAACTTTAAGACTTGCGGACTTCCACTCCCAGAATTCCCCAGCCAGCATGGCTGGCTGGGGAATTCTGGGAGTGGAAGTCCGCAAGTCTTAAAGTTGACAAGGCTGGACACCCCTGGAATACAGTATTTGCCTTTGGCCTGCAAATTTTGTGGATGCAAGATTATATTCAACTGTGCTATCTATTGTTGATAATTGTTAGAAAATAGGAAATTTGCTCCAGCAAGAATCTGGTGAGAATCTTGGGCGTGCAGAAACTATTTCTGATTTTATGTGTGCTGGAATTGTTGGGTTGAGTGGCAGCCTCCTTGTTCTGCAGTAAATCTGTCATTTCCGCCCCCCTCCCTCTGGTGATTCTTAAGTGCATGTTGCAAAAGAGACTTAACCAACTGTTGTAAATTCCGTTGGTTAGATAACTCAATATCTGTCTCAGATTACTGTCAGAGTTCCACCGAAGCGCTCTTAAGGATTCTGCAATGAACTTTCTCAACTTTTGTAAGCTCAAAGGAAGGCTCTTCGCCTTTGATTCAACTTTTCCAAGCTCAGTCTCACTTAGCAACAGAAATGTTGGGCTCAATTGTGGTCGTACGTTGAGGACTATATGTACCTGGAGGGGGCCGTCAGCTTTGGAAGAACAGCACCATATCTCCCAATTCAGTATTATTCTCTCGGCTTGCTTGCTCTGTGTTTCCTTTAGTTTGAAACGTGAATGTTTTTTAACTGTTACGCTGTGATTTACATTTTTATATTTTTTGTACTACTCTGGGCTCTGTGGAGGATTACAGGTTTGTTACTCTTACGACTAGACAACCTGTGACTGGTTGTCTTATCATTTCAGAGATATTTTCCTTACCTAAAGAGAGAAATAGACTGAAAATATTATGGGCAAAAAAAAAGCAGGGAGAGCAGAAGTGACTTCTGGCGTCCTGCTGGCTTCCCCAGTGACTTTCCTTGTAGGAAGCTGACAGGGAGCTTGGGAAATTATGATTGTGGCTTACCACAGTGGCACAGTGCAACAATTCTCAACCTTGTCTTCACCATGGACCCCCTTTAAATACCTTTTGTGGCCAAATGGGCTACCTTACAGAACGCATCTAAAATCTGGGACCCATGACTCCTGTGGGATTGAAATTTGGCAAGCTGTGGCTGCTTCTGTGCTCCATGATTCTCAAGCTGTGCTCCAAGGACTGCTGGGGAGGGGGCTCTGAGGTCATCTCAAGGTCCGTGAAGGCTTGATGAATTCTAGTGCTCTAAATCTTGAGTTAAATCTTGGGGGCTCATATCTAAATGGTTGTCCACTAGGACTCCAAGATCCCTCTCACAGTTACTACTATTGAGCAAGGTACCACATATATGGTACCTGTGCATTTTGTTTTTCTTCCCTAAATGTAGAACCTTACTTTTTTTCACTGTTGAATTTCATTTTGTTAGATAGGGTCCAATGTTCAAAATCCTTCTGCACCTTGAGCCTATCTTCTGGAGTGTTGGCTATTCCTGCCAGCTTAGTGTCATCTGCAAGGAGCCTTGGTAGTACAGTGGTTTAATGCACCCTGTTATTAACACAGCTGCCTGCAATTTCTGCAGGTTCGAATCTTACCAGGCTCAAGGTTGACTCAGCCTTCCATCCTTTCGAAGGTAGATTAAATGAGGACCCAGTTTGTGGGGGCAATAAGCTGACTTTGTATAAATATACAAAAGTATGAAGGCTATTGCTTAACGCATTGTAAGCCGCCCTGAGTCTCCGGAGAAGGGCGGCATATAAATCAAATAAAAATAAAAAATAAAATAATAAATTGGTGTGGCGCACAATTTATATTCACTAGAAAGCAGGAAATCCTGCTATCTAGTGAATCTAAATTGCGCGGCGCGGCTATTTCCCCCCCCCTCGCTGTTCTACTTACCTTGTTAAGCCTTCATTCTCCACATGAAGCGCATGTTTGATGCGCACTGCACATGCACGCACAGCAAACTGGTGGCAATCCGCAGAGGATTTCACCACTGAATGAAGGCTTCTTAAAACATTGTCTTTCTAGACAGGAATACACTGTGTCTGTTTTCACTTAAAGGATTTATACAATAAATATTCCATACATGGTTTTTTGTACATGGCTTCCCTTTTAACAGTGTTCCCAGGTTTTTTTAAAGAAAAGAACCAAAACACATAATAAATATAAAGAGATCTATACAGCATGGGGGGGAAGGAGGAGAAGTTCTCCCTTCTGATCGAGGAACGCGGCACTTCTGATCAAAGTGTCCTACAGAAATCTCAAGAACATTTTCCATCAGCCGACTGACTTATGCCATTGCAAAAAAAAAATAAAAAAAAATCACCTCCGATTTCCAGACAAGTGTCGTGTTTTCTTTTGAGTTAAGGGCATCTTCCAGAGAAATTGTGAATTCTGAATTCTCTGGAATAAGATTGCTGTCTTTGATGCAACTGGCTGGAATCCATATCAACTTCCAGCTACCATTTCCAAGTCTTCCAACTTCCAAATGCCATTTGACGTTTTCTCCAGAAATAGTGTGATCGGAAATGTCTTCTGAGCGGGGTCCATAAAACATCCAATCCATCCATCATCTTCAAGTATCAACAGTTGCAACTCTGGGTACTGAACAAGCCCTATATGGAAGTTAGACTCCAACAAACATTAAAGCATCCAAGTTCGGCCACTGGATCTCTTGGTGATCAGTTTTTCCCTTAGAAGGAGATACCCCAGTAAAACCTTGGGAGGAAAAGCTATTCCCCAACTGAAGATTTAAAGAATCCATTTCATCTGAAAAAAACCTGGTCAGTATCGAGTGTTTTCCTCGGCTGCCGTGACAATGGCATCCATCCAGATCCGCATAGCCTCTGGACTTGGTGCCACCATGCAGAAGAGGCGATCGTAAGTCTTGACACAGAAGGTCAGTTTGGGGTTGGGACTCTGCCAAAAGCAAAAAAGAGCAATGAATGGACGGATGAAAATAGTGTGCTATATTCACACACAGAACCTCTTAACCCACTTACTGAATTGATCGATACTCCTGTATTAGGGTGATTTTTTTTCTTTCTAATGTTTTTCTCCACTTTTTCTCCCACATCATTGGGATTTGGTCCATTGGTTGCCATAGAAATTGACTGATTGATTTCTCACCCGAGCCTGACATAGTGGGCTGAGAGAGAGTGAGTGGTCCAAAGTGCCCCAGATGGCTTTCATAACTAAGACAAAACTAGAACTCACTGTCTCCTGGTGATTGGTCCAAACTCACCTAACCAGCTTTCATACTTAAAGTGGGACTAGAACTCACTGTCTCCTGGTGATTGGCCCAAACTCATCTAACCAGCTTTCATACTTAAGTGGGACTAGAACTCACTGTCTCCTGGTGACTGGTCCAAACTCACCTAATTAGCTTTCATACCTAAAGTGGGACTAGAACTCACTGTCTCCTGGTGATTTGCCTAAACTCACCTAACCAGCTTTCATACTTAAGGTGGGACTAGAACTCACTGTCTCCTGGTGACTGGTCCAAACTCACCTAATTAGCTTTCATACCTAAAGTGGGACTAGAACTCACTGTCTCCTGGTGATTGGCCCAAACTCATCTAACTAGCTTTCATACTTAAGTGGGACTAGAACTCACTGTCTCCTGGTGATTGGCCCAAACTCACCTAACCAGCTTTCATATTTAAGGTGGGACTAGAACTCACTGTCTCCTGGTGATTGGTCCAAACTCACCTAACCAGCTTTCATACTTAAGTGGGACTAGAACTCACTGTCTCCTGGTGACTGGTCCAAACTCATCTAACCAGCTTTCATACCTAAAGTGGGACTAGAACTCACTGTCTCCTGGTTTCCAGCCTGGTGCCTTCACCATTGTGTCAGGGTTCCTATGTTGACGCCTTTGTCCTCATTGCTATAAGCAATGCACATAAGCAACAATAGAAACCTAGTTAAGATTTGGACAGCCACGCTGAATATGGTGTATCAATGGGACCATGAGATTTATAAATTATGCTTATAACACATGTTGAGTGAAGATCATTGTGTAAAAACATAAATACTGTATTATTTTAAAGAATGGTTTGTTTGTCCTTTGTTTATTTGACTTGTTTGCATACAACTGCCTCATGACAGTTTGCAGCAAGCCCGAGAACAACTCTTAAAAAATAAATAAAACTGTTAGTGCAAAGGATAATAAAATAAACGTTGAAAAAGACCACAAAGCATTACAGCAATAACATTTCAAGATAAAGGCCCATCACGGAAGACAGAAGCAAACGCAGCGCTGTTAAGCAATTAAAAACTGACAGTAATTAAAACGGGATTGTAAAGATGAAAAGCTAAAGACATTTTTTAAAAAAAATGTCTCAGGGCTTTTCTCAAATGGTGTCAGCAAAGAAGCCAAGATTATTGATTCTGGGAAGGTTAGGAAATGTGCGAAATATGACAACTTTTCCAAAGAAATTCAGGGCAATCTGATCTTAAAGTAGTTTCATTATTCATTTGAACTACGATGGGAAAGTATTCAGAGGTGGTGGGAAACTTTGCAGGGAGATCAATTTGCTTATGGAAAGGCCGACACGCAGTTCTTGCCCTCTGCAATTAACATTCCCAGGCCAAATGTAAGGGGCAAAAAGCTTCTGTTGAATAAATAGTTCTGGATAAAATTTATTAGGTGTCAGATGGTTCGCAGGACACTGTTTTGACTAAGCCAGTTCAAACTTTGTGCCTCTATTCCCGGAAATTATTCGGTTTATAGTTATAGTCATACGCTATAGCAGATGTTGTCTGCCTAGGATTGTGACTTTGGGGCAGGGGGGGGTTGAAATATCTGAGGGGGAGGGACTTGCACACACAAAATTGGTTTGCTGTTCCAACTCAGCCTGGAGAAGCCTGCATGAAGTAAAGACGGTGTACATTTCTGGCTAGAAAGACCAAACATCACACCAAAACAGGGGTGAAATGCTATCGGTTTAGGCCAGTTTGCCCGAACTGGTAGTAAAAAATGCTACTG